CCTGGCAGTCAGTCCAGCAGGAGCCCCCGCCCCTGGAGGATCGGGTGGCAGAGAAGAGCACAGAGAATCAATATTGATGCTCCCTGAATTATTAGTAAGGCCTCTCCCCTTACTGGCTCACTGTGGGGAGGGCTATTCAGTGGCCAGAGTTTGGGGGAGGGACCTGAGCACCTGCTGGTTGACTAGGGTCCAGGGGCCTTCTCTGGGTGCCCAGGGCTGACCTGCGTCTCCCCGGGTGGGGGCCTGGCACAGCCCTGGAGAAGGGAGTGGGCGAGACCCTCCCAGCCGAGCTGGCCCCCGAGGCCTCTTGTCCTCAAACCTCACTCACCAAACAGGTCCTTGGCACTCATCTTGGCCACACCGTCAGACCGGCCCAGGCTGCCACTGCAGGGGAGGGGCTGGTGAGGGTGGGGCCCATGCCGCACCCCTCCCTGGGGACTATGGGTGGGTAGCGGGTGGTGGGGGCCTAGTGGGTGGGGGTGGGGGCTCACTTGGCAGCACCCGGGCAACAGCTCACGGACCCTGATTGGCTCATGGCGTCCTCGACGGTGGCTGGCGGTGAGAGGGCAGACCTCAGAGTGGCCTGAGTCCAGGGCTTAGTGCCTGGCCCACACCTGAGTGCACAGGGGAGCCAAGCTGACACCTTATCGTGACCTGGCCGGGGCCTTGCTACCCCAGCACAGGGCCTGGGTCCCCTCCCCATCCCTCCCTGGATCCAGGGCCTGGAGCGCCGATGGCCTGGCCAGATTCCCCAGGGTGCCTGGGCAGGCAGTCCTCAGGAAGCAGAGCCCTGCCTTCCGGACACACCAGGACTACCCCTGCTCCACAACCCAGCTGGTGTTCACTGCAGCCCCATCCCTCCCTGGACCCTCGGTCCTCTACAGGGACCCCCAGGACGTGCCAGCAGAGGGGTCCCACCCCCAGAGGCTGTCTGGAGTGGGGCTGCGAGGAAGATGTCCTGGGGGCTCTGAAGGGGGGTCGGGGGAAGAGGCACCTTCCAAGCAGAGGGAACAGCATGTTTAAAGGCCCTGAGGCAGGCGGGAGCCAGACAAGGGAGAAAGGCAGCAAAAGATGAGGCTGGAGCCCAGGGCGAAGGGTAGGGGGCCCGGGGACCCAGAGCCCAGAGTGAAGCGCAGACGGAGCCCACCCTCTGAGGGGTGAGCAGAGCCTGGTGCCCCTGGGCCAGGCTGACATGTCCTGTGGGATTCTGTGCTCTGTGGGGACCTCTGGGTCCACACTGTGCCGCATCAGATGTCACCAGTGATGCCATCCATCTGCGGCTTCAGTGTTTAGGGGGCTGCAGGGTTGGGTCGCAAGCCAGGGGTGCTGGTATCCAGGGCAGGTAGTACCTGGTACCTGGTAGCTTGTACCAGTGCCTGGTAGCTTGACCAGGTACTACCTACAGGGAAGGCTCCCAGGAGGCGTGAGGGACCCGGGGGCTTCAGGCTACCCCCTCCCACATGCCACCGAGGGTCCCGGCTTGGCCAGATTCCTCTGTCCATCTGTCCGTGGAGAATGTCCGGAATGCTCATGACCTCAGTAGGTGAGCCCGAGTGTTTGCTTAATGGGATTCCTGGCGGGCTGAGCCGAGGGTGCTGGGCACGTGTGTCCAGATACACACACGCACCTGGGCGAAACCGCGGCCTGTGAGCACACAGACACCTAGGTCGTGACATTCGGCCTCCCCTAGGGGGCGGGGTGGGGGGCCTCAGGGCCAGCCAGGGAGGTGGGTCCAGGCATCTGGGTTGGGGAGCAGCTGGGGGAGAGGCCACTTACAGGCCGGCTCCAGCGGGGAGTAAGGGGCTTCTTCAGCTGACTGGGGTGGGGATGACACTAGCCCTGAGGGCCCCAGGGCCCAGGCTGCACTTTGGTTTCACTGTGGTCATTTTCCGGGTGCAAAGGAAGGCCGAGTATGGTGCCTGGTCAGGCAGGGGAGGGCGAGGAGGCCCAGTAGGGCAGGGAGGGCAGAGGGACCAGCTCCAAGTTCAAATTCCAGCTCGCAGCTGACCGACCTTGGGGAGCAGTCAGCTTAAGGCCCAGGGAGCCAGGTGGGGCCCGGGTTGGGGGAGACCCTGGGGCTCTGGCTGTGCCCAGGTCTGGGCCCTGCGGGTTGGGGGAGGGAAACGCCTGGGACGCTGTAGGTGGGGAGCAGGGCGCCGAGCTTGCACTTGGGAGGCAGAGGCAGGCGGAGAGCTGGGCGGCGCTGGACCCCTGACTGCACTGGGCAGGGCCAGGAGAGGCCCCGCCACAGGCCGTGGGGGAGGTGCGGGAGCAGAGGCGGCGCCAGCTGGGCTGGGCCTCCCAGCGCAGCTGGGGCTGACCACATCTGGGTGGGGCACAGGGGGTCGGTGGCGCACTTCAGAAGCACCAGGAACCCTGCTCACCCGCCTCCCCTGCCACCGGGACACCTGAGGCACATGGTCTGCCCCAGGCCAGCCCAGCCCAGGTTGGAGGCACACAGGCCCCGGCAGCTCGGCCCCCAGCCTCCTCCCTGAAACTCCCACACCCCAACCTTAACCGAGAGCCTGACCCCGGCCCGATGCTTCCCTGGCCCTGCGTTTCAGCCTGCCTCTGACCCACAGGAAGCCGGCTAGCACGCCAGAGGAGCCCCCAGCCTGCCCCGGCAACAGTGGTGCAGATCCTTTGAGGGGCAGGGGCTGACCTCCTCAACACCGCTTCACTGGAGGAGGGGGTTCCTGCCACCGAGCCCCAGGGCTGGGAGGCGGCCGGCTGACTCAGAAGCCACTGGCTTACAAACATCCCCAGCGCACGGCGCCGCCCCAGGACCGGACGGGGCGGGCCAGGCCGCAGGAACCCGGCTGCGGCCACCAGCCCAGGGAAAGCCCGCGGGCCCGGCGCGGCCCCTCGCGCCCGATGCCCCATGCGCCCCGGCCCGGCCTGCAGACCCAGGCCAGGGCCCCGCGTCGCGCTGCCACCTGGGGAAACTGAGGCCCGGGCAGCCCGCCCTCCGTGCGCTCGGCTCCCCTGTGGCTCCAGGGCCGAAGCGGGTGCGGGCGCTAGGCGGGGCACTCACCTGCTCCTCTCGCGGCCCCGCGCCTGGTCGCCCACTGGTCCCTTAGTCCGCGCGTCTGTCCGCCCGTCTGTCGGAGCCTGGTTCCAGAGGAGAGAGGGACGCGCGGAGGAGCCGGGGCGGGGCGCGGGGAGGAACCTGAGCGGCAGGTTAGAGTCACCGTGCGCGGGCAGGCACTGGGCAGGGGCGGGGGTGGGACGTGGATGCCCCGCCCACCCCGCCCCCGCTCCAGACCCCGCCCCCACCGCGGCTCCCCGCGGACGGTCCCCACAGCCACCCGGGTCCCTCTGCGCAAACCCCACCCCTAAAGCGGGAGCGCTGGTGGACGGGTGGGCGGGGCCTGGAGCCCATCCCTCGCTGGGGTGCTCTGGGCGACAGCGCGCCCTGACGCTGCTCTGAGATCTACCCGGGGCAAGCCCAGCTGCCTGCACCCCAGAGGAGTGGCGTGGAGTCCTGGGGAGGTCAGACCTGCCCCTGCCAGGTGCCCCCAGCCTCAGGTGCCCCAGGACCCGGGGCCGAGTCCCATCCTCTTCCACTGGGGCCCCTCTGGTCTGGAGGGAGCGCTAGGGCCAGGCTTTAGTCTGAGTGAGTCTCAAAGGTAGGACCATGGGCCAGAGGTCCTGCAGTCCAGCTCCCTGAGCTTGCCAGGTCGGGGGCGGGGATACCTCCTCCACGATCTAGGAACTCCTGAAGTCTCCTTCCTTGTGTCGCCCAGCCCAGCGTGGGCACCCCCTGAGGAGCGGGGTTATCCCACGGCCGGGGAGGGGGGCGTCGGGACGCCTGTGGCCTATGCTGTCCTTGAGTGCCAGGGCAGCGTTGGTGTGAGAGCGCTCCGGGCAGTGACCCCCGCTTTAGGCCAGGCCCCAAGCTCTGCCCGCCGTTCTGTCTTTCCTCCTGCTGAACTGATCCCCAGGATGGCCGTGCCCACCAAGCTGGGTAAGGAGGGCAGGCCAGGTGGTGGTGGGCACCCCCAGGCACCCCAAGGCTCCCGCTGTTGTCCTGGGGTGGGGGGAGCAGGAAAGGTGTGCCAGGACGTGGTCCTAGAAGGCCGCGCAGCTGGTGTTTGCCAGGAGCCCCAGCTAAGGAGACACAGCGTCCTGGAAGGCCAGCGGCATTGTCCCTCCCCATATCGCCAGGGCCTTCCTGCCTGTCTGGGGTGTTACTGGTGAGCTCGCACAGGGGTACAGGGAGTGGCCTTCGTCCTCCAGCCCCGCCCTGCCGCAGAGCCCTGGCAAGGCCTGGCTTCCTGGTTCCGTCTCCCCTCTGCTGACGACGTCCCCACAGGGGACGGCACGCCAGCCCTTCCAGGAGTCTGAGCCTGAAAGGGCAAAATGTGGGAGACACGCAGGGAGGGGAGCAGCTGAGGTGGGAGTTCTCTGCTTCTGAAATCAACGTGATTGGGAGCATTGATGCCCTCAAGAATGCAGTTGGGGGCCTCGAGTCCCAGGCTGCTCGGTGGCCACCTTGGGTGTGGTATGCCCCGTGGCCAAAGCAATGGGGATGACAAGGGCCTGGTCCAGACTCTCGGGCAGGCTGTGAACTGGGAGGACAACAGGTATCTTGCTGCCTGGGTCTGCAAGGGAGGGGCTGAGGTTCCCAAAGACAGCAGGTGTGGCCATCGCGGCCTCCCCGAGCCCATGTGGGCGGGAGAGGGTGGAGCCCTGATGAGCGCACAGGAGAGTAAGCAGGGGGACGCCCCCACTGGCCTTCAGGGCTAGAGGCGCACGCTGGTCCTGAGCTAAAGAAGTTGGCGGAGCAGAGAGCTCTCTGCTCCCACTGGCCCCCTAAGGGTAAGACTGACGAGGCTGACACCACCAGTCCCCCTCACTGAGGCCAGCCCCGGGGAGGCCCAGGCTGGGGGAGCGCAGCTCCAGGGCTGCTGTGTGGGGCCTGCAGCGGGCACGCGGCCTGTGCCCTGAGGGATGAAGGGAGAACCCTGGAGGAGACAGGTGGCTGCAGCCAGGAGCAGTTCAGAGAGGTAGAGAAGCTTCTTTATTTAAAAATACCGTGAAGAGAGACTATCCAGATGCTCAAACACAACGTTACTCGAGACTTAGAAAATGTGAAATTGAGACCAAGGAAAGTCACTAGGAAACATCGGCGCAGACCCCTTCCAGGAGCACTTGCAGAGGGCCTGGGAGCCGGACAGCACCCCTATGGGGGCCTCTCCAGCTCTCCTCCCCCGCTCTGCGCTGGAGCTTCCAGGTCACCTTCGCCTTTCTCCAGAGCCCCCAAGGGAAAGGAAACCCCCCAGCCCCGAGTTGCCTGGCCCTCGGCAGGTGCCTCCTGTGCGCGGCAGAGCGCACCACCTGCCCGGGGCTTGGCCCGCAGAGCAGGACCCCTGGTCCCTGTGCCACCCCGAAGCTGCAGGGAGAGCAGAGACGGCCGATCCTGGCCTGAGAGGGAGATGCCACGGACACCGCGAGGGCACTGGCCTGGCTGCCTGCCTTCCAAAGGCCTCGTTCCCCTCTGCACCCCGGATGTCGGTGGCTGCTGAAGCCAGACCCCCACCAGCCCGAGATGTCCCCGCGATTCCCCGCAGACCGGCGGGGACAGCCCCACCCCTGCTTCCGCCACACCCAGCCCCTGCCCAGCACCTTGTTCTGCCCTGGTTCCCGACCCCACCTCCGCCTCACAGACCCTCCACACCATCTGACCCTCTAACAAACACTGAGGCAGGTCAGCACGAAGATGTCCTTCCCGCTCAGCAACTGTCAGTGGGGGAGGTGACGGCTGGGGCACAGTCTGGCTCTGAGGAAGGTCTCCTGCCCAGGGCTGTCCCGCGGGCCGGGCACCGCCCACCTAGCCCTCGAAGCCGGCGATGGCCACCGCCTGCAGGACGGCCTCCAGGCCGTGGAGCGCCAGGAGCACGGCGCTGAGGGCCGAGTCTGCCCACAGCACCAGGGTCTGCCAGAGCAGGAAGTAGACGGACAGCAGGGCACCGCCCACCGTGAGGACCAGGCTGGCGGCCAGCGGTACCTCGGCTTCCATCAGGTTGCCCTTGGTGCCTGGAAAGCAGAACAGACGTGCTGGGTGAGCGCCGGGCTTTGGGACGCACGGGCCCGGGAGCGCTGACCCCCTCAAGAGTGGCCGTGAGACCCGTGCCAGCTTTGACCACCATGTGATGCTTGAGGACTTGAGTGAAAGCTCCCACTGTGACCACTGCAGGGGACTCTTCAAAGTGTCGGAAAGCAAACGCAAAAAGGGGCATGTCTTCCTTAGTGAGGAAGAAAGCCAACCGAGGCTGTGATGTTCTACTCTTGGTCTTTGGGTCAGTTGTGTGGGTGGGAGAGGGAATTTGGTTTTCTAAAGACAATTCCAACTGTATTCTGACACCTTTTCCTAATTCCACATTGACTGTGGAAGATTGAAGATTTTGTTTAAAATTTCCAAAAATAGTTCACTTTGGGCTAAGGTCGTTGTGGAAAATTTCACGCACATTTACAAAAAACAAAGCAACTGCACGTTTTACAAACAAATGGGTCAGCATGGAAGACGCTGATCTCCAGCTGTCCCGGCCACGGGTGCCCAGGGTGCCCGTGGAGCGTGAGGGACTTGCGGATGCCCAGCGACTCTAGTGCCGTTTGCCACCCTCCCATGGGCACGGGCTTGTCTGTGTCGGGGGTCTGCGTGTGCAGGGGCCCGGGATGTGCCGGCTGTTTTATCAGCCATTCCAGAGGCAAGAGCGTTTCTCAGACGCGTCAGCGGAACACACAGCGTGATCCCGTTTAGAAGAGATGTGCTCACGTCTGTGTGCCTGTGGCTGGGAATGGGGAGACGTGGGCCCTGATGGTGAGCTGTGGAGGGAGCGGGGGAGCTCTCTCGGGGCTCCTATACTGTCTCAGCTTCAGGACGTGAGGGGAGTCGGCCGAGCAAGATTCTGGCTGGGGGCGTCCAGGAGCCGCACTGGGGAGGCGACGGAGCCTTCACCCTCCAGGCCCTGCTGCCCTGGTGGGGTCCTGACAGAACTTTCCAGATCCTTCTCCTCCTGACCACTGAGGCCAACGGAAGGGGAGGAAGGGGGTGGGGGTGAGTGTTTTAGGGCCCCGGGGTTGATGACTGAGCTGGGTTCTAACCTCGGTGCTGTTTGTTACCCAGCAGCTTGTGCACAACATGCTTCCAAACAGGAAGCATCCCCACCAAGGACGTGGCCAATATTCTTCGTCTTGTGGACAAAGCTTCTGGACAAATTAATACTTAATGACACTGTAAGGCGAGGCCTGCAAAACCATGCGTAAGCAGTTTAAATCAAAAGTGTCTCTAAGAACCACGTTACAAAATGATCAACATGTAAAGGTTCGCACATAAACCTAGCAACAATCTCAAGTACTATGTGGTTTTCAGTCAACTCACCGAAGTATAACCGAATTGCTTCCAGAATCCCCATCAGAAAGAGCAGAGTCAGGTCGAGGACCAGGTAACTGTGAGGGTAAGTGAAAACCTGGACTGGAGAAAAACAGGCAACAAAGCTGAGCCCCTGTTGCAGGACGCAGGGTACCCACACCTTTGAGCTGCCTTTTCGCACGAGACTTACTTTTATACACGGCCAGCAGGAGCGTAGCTAGGAAATAAAGGGCATAGTACATTCCACTCAGATAGAGCAGCATCTGAAGAGGGAGCGATGAGAGCTGGCCAGCGGTTAAGGACTCTCAGGCCCAGCAAATGACCCTGCCCGAGGGCACCCACCTGGGGAGAGTGGACAGAAGGGGCTGCTCCGCCACCTGTCCAGAGGCCCTGCAAACACGTGGGTCCAGCCCAGGCACCTGCGGGTGGCCACGAAGACGTGGCCGACAGCCCCCTGCCTGGCTTCCTTTGACACCCCTCCTGGTGCCACCGCACCTGGCAGGGCTCCTGTGGGCTCCGGGGTGGGGCTGGGGCTCCCCCCCAGGGGACATCCTAGCCTAGAGCAAGAGGACCGGGCACATCCTTGGTGACTGCAGGCAGGACGGCCTCGGCACCCCGGGCTTCCTCAGGTGGCATCACCCTGACCTAGGTCCCAGTTATAACATTTAGAGCAAAAAGTGACCTTTTTCACTTTCTTCAAAGAAAATGTCTTTCTCTTTTTTGGGGGGCAGTTTAATACCCACTAGCAACTTTCCTGAGCTCTGAACACTTCGTATTTGTTTACGCTAAAACAAGTCTGTAAGTTTTCCAAGTGAGGGGTTTTCGCGCTCCTGCCCCCCTGGGCCCGGAGGGAGTCAGGCAGCCACCCCTCGGTGAGGGGCTGGGCAGGAGGCACCAGCGGAGGAGGTTGTATCAACTCTCTCCACCTGTTAGTGGACGCCCTTCCCACTCAGTGGAATGACTACTCAGAACTTATAGGGAAGGTGGGGCTGGGGGCTGGGGGCTTAAAGCAGCAAAAGGCAGGGGCCAAGAGCCGACTTCAGGCGCCTGGGAGGCCTGAGTCTTGGGCTGACGGAGGGCCACAGGGATGTGGCAGCGGGACAGCCGACTTCAGGGGCCTGGGAGGCCTGAGTCTTGGGCTGACGGAGGGCCACAGGGATGCAGCAGCGGGATACCACCGTGGAGGAAGCTGTCCCTGGAAGAGAAGGTACAGTCAGAGAGGTCCCAAGTCCTACCAGGATGCTCCAGCGGCCTGTTCTCCTGTTGCCGCGGATTTATGGCCCGCAGCTAGGTTCCTTTCCAGCACCTCTGCACCCACTGTCCCTCCAGGGAGGATCTGACCATCTGCTTTTCTGAACCTGAGGCTGGGAGTCAGGGCGCACCCACAGGCGAAGCCCAGATCCACACCTGAGGCCAGATGCCAGGAGAGAAACCAGACACACAGCTTTTCTCATCTCGTATCTGCCACACGTACATAGATGAAAACGTTTTTTGATTCAGGTTACAAGTCTCTGTCATGGATAACAGATGCTTGCTTTCCTCTGGAATTCTATTCATGGCCCCAAATATCCGTCCCCGAATAAGAATCTCCTAAGCCAGCCATCTAGTCCCTTTCCAACCCTCTCCCGCCACACAGCAGTTACACATTCTGCCCGCGTCTTCAGATGACAGTGTACGGTGACGCGCCAGTAACGACTCCGAATTTGCCAGCAGCGAGTAGGACGCTGCTCTCTCCTACTCCATTTCCTCCTTAGTCCCCAGGGGGCAAGAGAGAAACTCCCAGCCTGGGTGAGCCTTTGCTTCCTTGGCAGATTCGAGGTCCTCTGGGAGTCTCACTTAGGTGGGGGTCTTACCTGGGTCAGCACAGGACACGGGTGACGGAGAGGCAGCACGTGCTGAGCACGGGGAGCCTCAGAGGGTGCCGAGCACAGATCATTAATAAACCTTCATCGCGATATGGGAAGGGTGCTCTCTAAACCCGATCCCTTCTTTTCCCAGGCCCAAGCTAAACTAGGCTGCCTCGATACCTGTCATTATTGGAGTGGATTTCACGTTGATCGGGATTTTGCTCCCTTCTGACCCTTCTCTTGACAGTTCGCTTCAGAACTTCAGATCTACTTGCCAGCTGCCCATTGTTATGCTTGAGATGGTGGGGCTCAGGGAAAAAATGCTGTTGAAAAACCTTCAGCGCCACGGGATTTAAATAATTGACATGAAGGGTAGCTACAATTAGATATGCTGCGCTAACGATTTCAGACCTACAGAAAGAGGCTCATTCTGACTAAAGATAACCGTGGCTTTTAGAACTTCGCATTTTTTGTCAGTGATTCACTGTAATAACAATGTGGCCGTCAGAAGTTAAATGTGAAAGCAAAGAGAAAGAATGTTTTTCCTTGGGTGATATACGAGGGGTGTGAAGCGGACAGCTCTGGTGTAAACGTAATTTTCCACCAAATGAAAACGCGCGAACCTCAGTACCCGTGGCCTTGCACAAAGGTCTGGCGCTTGGGAACCCCGGTGCCGGGAAACTCTGTCTGAAGCTCAGACCACAGAGTCTGCTTCTTTGTCAGCTGCCCAGCTCACCGCTCCCGTCTAGTCCCAGCCTCTCCTCGCACGAGTAATTTCGGAGCCTGACAGCTGAGATGTGGAAATTGGCCTTTTCCATCCGGCCGAGTGAGCGCCCGGGGCCGCCCGCGTACCTCGCTCTGGTTCCACGAGCTGTGCGGTGCGGGCTCTTACAGACCCAGCGGTCAGGACTTCGAAGGGGCTGCCGACCGGCCGGCCCCCCGCCGCCCCGCGCAGGGCGCCACCGAGACAGGACGAGCCCGTGAGCCGGCAATCCCGGCGAGAATCCAAAACTTCGCTCCAGAAGCCGGTCCCACTGGGCCCGCAGGCGGGGCCCACTCCAAACCGGGGTGTCCCCTTCCTGCCGGCCCCGGACGAGCCCGTCCCGCTCGCTGCCGGCCCACTGGGTCGGGGGGCGCCGACCGTCCCCTCGGGGGGGCCGTGACCTCACCGCCGTGGCTCCACTGCCCCGCGCGTTCACGGGAAGCGGCGGCGCGGACCCGGGACGGGTTCTCCGGGCCAGGATCTCACCTTGTGGACACATGAAGTCCACCGGTTAACGACGCCGGCGAGCTGCACCCGCAGCTCGCCCTTCCCCGCAACAGGAGGAACCGAACCAACCGAATCCATCTCCCGGGGCGACCTCCGAGAACCCCCTAGGCCTCCGCGACACCGCACCCAGCCCCTCACCTCGCCGCGAGGCCGCCATCTTGCCGCGGCCCGCCCCGCGGCCCGCCCCGCGGCCCGCCCCGCGGCCCGCCCCGCGGCCCGCCCCGCGATCCCGGCATCCTCTCGGAGCCGGACGCAAACGGCGTCCCTTCGGCCATTTTCGCTTCTGCTCCCGAACGGGCTCGACGGCGTCGCGTTTCGGGACTTGATCCCGAACTGTGGCCGAGGCCCGATTAGCCCGTCCGACAGCGCTCGGGCACTTTCGGACAGGAGGAGGCGGAGAGCCGAGGCTCGCTCGTGAGGATCCCGGCTCGGGACCGTTCGGCTCCGCTCGGCTCCTTCTCGGGCGGGCTCGGCTCCCGCGGGCGGCGGGTGCAGGCGGAGCCTGCAGCGCAAGGTTCTCTAGGCCGGGTCGCGTTGCGTCGGAGTCCGGCGGAATCGGCCTCACAGTAGGGGACCCCGATGACTGGGGACCACGGCCGACGCGGCCTTCTAGGCCCTGAGGAGGGCTAGCGCAGAGCCTCTCGGAAACCCTCGTGCGGCCTCGGACCAATTCGGACCGACTCGGCTCCGCGCTTCGGACCACTTCGGCCCCCCTCGTTTCCGGACTCTAGGCCTCGGCTTGGCTGGACTCGACCGGGCCGCTTCGTGCCGGTTCGGGCCCTGTTCGGGCGGCCCCGGCTCGGCTTGGCGGCCGGCTTCGGGCGGGCTCGGCTCAGCTCGGCTCGGTTCGGGCAGCCCTCCTCGGTCAAGCTCGGCCCGTCTCGGCCCGGCTCGGGCGGCCTGCTCGGGCGGCGCGCTTCGGGCTCCGTCCCGGCCTTCGGGCGGCCCCGGCCGGCGCCTTCGGGCGGGCTCGGCGGAGTCCGGATGGAGGACTCGGACTCGGCCGCCAAGCAGCTGGGCCTGGCCGAGGCGGCGGCGGTGGCGGCCGCGGCCGCTGTGGCGGCGGCGGCCGCGGCCGCGGCGGGAAGCGAGGCGGAGGAGCCCGTGCTCAGCAGGGACGAGGACTCGGAGGAGGACGGAGACTCGGAGGCGGAGCGCGAGACGCGGCGGGTGACGGCCGTGGCGGTGATGGCCGCCGAGCCCGGGCACATGGACATGGGCGCCGAGGCCCTGCCTGGCCCCGACGAGGCCGCCGCGGCCGCCGCCTTCGCAGGCAAGTGCCGCCCGCCCGTGGTTCCCGCGCACCTGTCCGCACCTGCCGCACACCTGCCCTACACCTGCCCTGCACACCTGCCCCGCACACTCCCGCACGACCTGGCGGCACCTGCTCCGCGCGCACTCCTCACACTTGTCCTCCACGCGCACCTGCCCTGCCCACGCCTGGCTGACTGGCACACCCACCCTCCCCCAGCACATGCCTCGCACCTACCTTGTGTGCCGTGTGGTCCCTGCACACCTGCCCCATGGGAGCATCCTGGCCCTGCCCTGCCGCATACTTGCTCCCTGAACGCCTTTCCTTCCTTTCAGTGCTCTGCGCTACTTCCAGAACCTTCTCAGCACCTGCCTGTTGCCTTGCGTGTCCTCTCCTCCTCTGTCCTGGGTGCTGGTGACACAGGGGTCAGACACGGGTCCTGTCCTGGAGGAGCCCGGGGTTGGGTGCATCTGGTCACCCAGAATCCTGAGGGCCTGCTCAGGTGTGACCTTAGCCCTGGGGAGCAAGGCATCTCACTTAGTCTGGGAGGGCCCGCAGCCTTTGGGGGCAGTCCCCTCTGGCCTGTCCGTGGGGCCCCCATTTCCTCCTTTACTGATCTTCCCTTCTTCGGGCACCACCCGGGCTGCTGGCCCACGCTTTTGTTCTTGCCGCACAGAATATTCTCATTTTCAAGGTTCGTGAGCCATGCCCCAAGGCGCTCTTTAGAGGTTGTGTCTCCCCGGGGCACCGTCCCGAAGGAGGTAGAGACTTTCCTAAGCATTGTTCCCTCCCACTTGGGCTCCTGTGTGGCCGGCAGAGCCGGGCACTGGAACCCCTGGGGAGCATCCTAAGGCTCTTCTCCCCGAGGGAATTTCATGGGTTTCAGAACTGGACAGCGGCCTCCCCACCCAGTGCTCCGGTTTTTCTGGCCCTGGAGGAGCTGCGTGGGGCCTGCAGCCCGTTCTCTCACTGCCCCGGTGCCTGTGGTCTGTCCGGGATCCTCGCAAAAGGCAGGGAAAGAAGGCTTTGTGGCCCTTAAAGGGTTCCATTTTCATTGCTAAACTCTGGTTTAAAGTTGAGATCTTGGATGGTGAAGTTTTTCTTCAGCTTTGTGTTGTTTTTGCACGGGTTTTTCTGAATGCAGAAAGGGAATGTGATGCTATTCACACGTTGGAGACACGTATTGACATCACGTGTTTCTTTCCTGCAGAGTTTTATCCTTGTGTTTTTCTAGTGTGTTAAAACTTGTTGGTTGTGAATTACCGAGGCCAGGTGATTCCCGGGTTTCTGTAACTCAGCAGGACAGGGTGCTGGCTTGAGGCTGCCTCCCGGGCTGCTGGCGAGCTCTTTAGACCTGAGCTTGTGTTCAGACCCCTCGGGCCCGGGCTCCCTGGGACACGGTGGAGGAGACAGATGGGGAGCAGGTGTTTTTAGAGCAGTTTAAGTGAGCTCGGGCTGATGGAATGTGCAGGACTCTCGGTCAGTTTGAGCACCTCCCCCAGGCCACAGGCGCTCTAGGTTTGGGACATTCCGGAAGGCAGCGCCACCCCTGGTGGCTGGGGGAGCATCAAGGGAGGGCTGTCCGGGGCAGCCCATCAGGAGTGGGCCATGGGCAGTGGGGGGAGCACAGGGGGCGGGGCGCGGCGGCGCCCCCGTGTACAGACGCTGCTAGGAGGGGCCGGGCTTAGAGTTGGGGGGCGCGTGGGGTGGGCACAGGCAGGTCTGCCGCTTTTCAGGAGGAAGAGGTCCGTGGCAGGTAGGGGTGAAGGAAGGGGAGGGAGGGATAGACATGAGCCTTCCTGCACTGACCTGCAGGAGAGGGGCCAGGAGGATCCCCACCCGGAAGGGAGGGAACTCTAGGATTTTAGGGGCCTCTTTGGGGTATGGTTTTAAGTAGAAGGGAGCGAGATGCCAGGGCAGAGCTGTGGCCAGCTCAGTGGGTGCGTGAGGGCAGGCGTGCCCTGTGGTCTATACTGTGCGTGGCAGGCTCTGTGGAGAGGGAGAGGTGGCCTTTTGTCCTTGGAAGGACCAGGTCATTCAGACTGGTCTAGAAACGTTGGTCGGGCGTTTCGTGTACAGCGTGAGGCCTCCCACGGTAGCTCAGGTACTTGACCTGGACCCACCGTGGGCTGCCCCCCACCCTCGCCCTGTCCCCAGTGGCCTTTGGCTGGGCCCTGAGTGAGGCTCCTGTGTTGCAGAGGTGACCACCGTGACAGTGGCCAACGTGGGCGCCTCGGCGGACAATGTCTTCACCACGTCGGTGGCGAACGCCGCCTCGCTCTCGGGCCACGTGCTGGTAAGCCGCCACGGGAGCGCTTCCGGCCCCGAGGGGGGTGGCCCGTCCCCCAGAGACCCTGAGCCTGCCCTGTGCCGACTGCCTGGGGAGGGGAGGGGAGGGGAGGGGAGATCTCACGGTTTCCTTCTAGCCTGGATCACGCACCTGGGACGCTGTACACCTGAAAGCAAAGTGGTTGTTACTGAGGTAGTGACAGACAGAAAAGTGTTGCTCCTGAGTGTAAGGGCAGCAGGTTGGTGAAGGGCTCAGGGGTGCAGATCTAAGAGTCTTGGTTTATTTCTTCTGGTATCAGGATGCACGCAAGCTGATAGCCAGGCAGTGACGTGGTGCCTCTGGCTGGTGTCCTGCCTGACAGCAGATTCTCTCACGTTCTCGTTTTCTAGGAGGGGCTGGAGCCAGAGGGTCGGGGAGTTAGGGGCGGCCCCAAGTCAGTGGGCTCTGAGGACAAGAAGACCCAGAAACTAGTGTGATCCTTCTGGAAACTGACAAGGAGAGGGGGTCTCGAGTATCGACATGTCTCACATGCCTTCGTGAGAAAAATACTTTGCGGTTCTCGAAGGAACGCAAAGCGTTCTGTGGTTCCGGTCGAGAGCTGTACGAGTGCAGTGATTCAGATGCAGGCAGTGTAGACGCCCTTACTGAGGCGTTGACCCTGCAGGCCTGTGAGAGCAGGCCAGGTGTGTGCATGCGCACGCCGGGTGGAGGGCCCGCAATCCCACGATAAACTTCTACTCACCTCCCCTGGTTTGAAGGCCACATTTTCAGATGTAAGAAAAGGTCTTTGTCTTAGTTTTATCCTCAGCGTGAAAGCACGAGAGTGTCCCAGGCCTTGGTGTGGACGGGGTGCGCCGGGGTCTCTAGTCCACTCCAGGGCTGTCTGAGTGAGGCCATGAGCGTGTGCCTGTGGGCAGTTGGGGTGGGCTTAGCGCCCGCAGGGATAGGAAAGGGGCATCTGGCTGGCCCAGAGGAGGCAGGCGTGGTCACGGCAGCATCCAGCCCCAGTGGAGAGGCATGTAAGCAGCGTGGCTTGGGAAGCCCTGTGTCTGGGTGGGCTCGGGCATGAGAAGGGGTCCTGCACTGGGCCTTGGCTGTGCTTATGAGCTTGGCCTCTCGGAAACCCTCCCCTGAGGCCTGCAACCTCAGAGGCTGCCCAGGCAGACGGGAGGGCATTTCCTGTTCCAGGAACACATTTATCCCTTAACTTGGACAAGCCATGTGAGCATTCGCTCAGAGCCATGCAGACCTAGTGTCGCCTCTTCTTGGCCTTGGCTCTGCATCTGAGAAGCATGAGGCATGGTGGGCCCCCCGGTGGCGGTGTCAGCTGGAACCTCTCTGTAGGACCATGTCCCGGTGTGCAGGTGTGCGCCAGCCGCTGTCACTTGAGACTACTGGTGTTCTTTCCCCCAGTCGGGCAGGACAGCCCTTCAGATCGGGGACAGTCTGAACACCGAGAAGGCCACGCTGATCGTCGTGCACACGGACGGGAGCATCGTGGAGACCGCCGGGCTGAAGGCACCCACTGCCCCTCTCACCCCCGGTATGCCCTCCTGCTCCAGGCCTCGGGGGCAAAACGCTCTGAGAGCTGGTGGAGTTTATCCTGGGGGTGAATTTTATCTTGTGGTGAATTTCAAATTTCAAATACTATTTAGTTTAAGTATAAAAAGTGGATTTTTTCAGGCAACAGAAGAGTTGCCCAGAGTTACAGGGGGCGATGCTGCAGAGCTGGGGGAAGAACCTGTTAGAATCAAGATGTTTTTTGTGCCTTTCTGTTACTCGGGGTGCGTTCAGGTCTCTCATTTTCATGATGCTTTCTTTGCTCAAGGCCCTCAGTCTCCTCCGACTCCTTTGGCTCCCGGCCAAGAGAAAGGTGGAACTAAGTACAACTGGGACCCATCGGTGTACGACAGTGAGCTGCCTGTGCGCTGTCGGAACATCAGTGGCACCTTGTATAAGAGCAGGCTCGGCTCAGGTGGGCGCATGCGGGGTGGGCCCAGGTGTGCACAGAGTGGGCCCAGGTGGGCTTGCGTGGGGTGGGCCCAGGCTGCTGCTTATCGCCTTCCCTTTGCATCCCCCACTGTAAGTTGGGGCCAAGGATGGCCATAATGATGCATAAACTAGTTAAACGGGCAGGTCGAGGAATGGGGTGGCCCGTGGTAGGAGCAGGGCTGGACCATGTTCCCTACGGCCCTGGGTCAGCTGGGTGACCCGTAGGTAGAAGGCTCTGCAAGTGGGAAGACGTCATGAGCTCCGTGTGGGATATGGTGGAGTGTGCGGTGACCGTGGACAGCAGGTCGGGGCTCAGGCATGCGGTGGGAAGCGCTGCCTGCAGATGTGGGCTCGCCGTGGGGCACCGAGGGAGCGGCTGAGAGCAGGCAGGCCCGGGACACCGAGGGGGGGGGGGGGGGGGGGGGAGATGGGCCTGGCCCAGTGTCAGCGGGAACTACAGTGGGTGGCTTCGTCCTTTCAGGAGGCCGGGGGCGCTGCATTAAGCAGGGGGAGAACTGGTACAGTCCTACCGAGTTTGAAGCCATGGCAGGAAGGGCCAGCAGCAAAGACTGGAAGAGAAGCATCCGCTATGCGGGGCGGCCGCTGCAGTGCCTCATCCAGGTACCCAGGTGCCGCGCTTCCCCACCCTCCCTGCTCAGAGCCGCAAGCCGCAGGCCCGGCTCCTGGAGCATCGGCCGCAGGGCTTTCCAGGGTTCACAGGCTGGAGTCAGATGCGATTCGAGTCCCCCGCTCACTTGCTGTGTGAGTTACGTCACCTTTCCATCTGCTTCCTGATGTTCCAGATGGGATGTTGAGGGTGTTTGCTCCACACCTTGCCGTGAGGAGTGGATGAGGCAGCGTAACAGCTTCCGCTTGAGTGCGTGTGACTTTTGTTTATTTACTAACAGGAGAAAATCAAACGGAAGTTTAATAACACGTATACATGGGAGAGACTGAGGAAAACTGAGTAACTCTGCCTGTGACGTTTAATTAATTAGTTATTATTTTTTTATGGTACGCGGGCCTCTCACTGTCGTGGCCTCTCCCGTTGGGGAGCACAGGCTCCGGACGTGCAGGCTCAGCGGCCATGGCTCACGGGCCCAGCCGCCCCGCAGCATGTGGGATCCTCCCGGACTGGGGCACGAACCCGCGCCCCTGCATCGGCAGGTGGACTCTCAACCACTGTGCCACCAGGGAAGCCCTGCCCGTGACTTTTTAAAAGACACCTAACTTCTCTCTCCTTGAGCTCATCTGTGAGAGGAGAGGGCTCCTCGTTGCTGTTTCCGGTTTAGCTCTAGGAGGTTGATAGAGAAATCACGCCTACACTCCCTGGCAGGGGAGAGATAGATGCTGCCACCAGCAGAGATGTGTACGAGAGAAGGTTCTGGAAATGGTGGGATTTTACCTTCACGGGGGGATCGGGGTGAAACTGGTTGAGATCTGGGGCTGTTGACTCACTTCAGAGCCGACTTTCTCACGTGTTGCGGTACTTTTTAAATTTCAGGATGGGATCCTAAACCCTCATGCCGCCTCCTGCACCTGTGCCGCCTGCTGTGATGACATGACCCTGGTGAGTGGGCCCCTGCTCCCCTCAGCTCCTCTCAGAGCTGCTTCCAGCTTAGTTTCTTCCTCAAATTCTGGGTTTTGACCATTACTCTGATGAGTGAGGCCTCAAGTGGGCCCTGGGGCTGCTCAAAGAACGTTAAGGGAAACTTTCTTAAATAACGGAAAGCTCCGATAATGTCACCGTTTTTTTTTTTTTTATAACTCTATTCATTTATTTATTTTTGGCTGCGTTGGGTCTTTGTTGCTGTGTGCAGGCTTTCTCTAGTTGCGGCGAGCAGGGGCTACTCTTCATTGCGGTGCGCAAGCTTCTCATTGTGGTGGCCTCTCTTGTTGCGGAGCACGGGCTCTAGGTACGCAGGCTTCAGTAGTTGTGGCTCGTGGGCTCTAGAGTGCAGGCTCAGTAGTTGTGGTGTAGGGGCCTAGTTGCTCCGTGGCATGTGGGCTCTTCTCGGACCAGGGCTCGAACCCATGTCCCCTGCATTGGCAGGTGGATTCTTTAAGCACTGCACCACCAGGGAAGTCCCTATAATGTCATCGTCTTAACCGTACTTTTTTTTGTGGTGACAAGTATATATGTGCTGTTTTATGTTTTTCATTTTTAATGTCACGTTATAAAAAAACTACACTGAGCTGATTTATATAGAGAACTTTTAATGTCTTTTGAAGTCTTTTTTATTCTAAATTCTTAACTGTTTAAATAAAAGAGATATTTGCATTCGTTTGAACGTATATTGCTCTATAGCTTTCAAAGTGTGACACTAATTTGTTATATGTGGACTACCAGTTTTGTTTCAATGTTTCTATTGTTGAATATTATTTTTAAATGTCCTAAAATTAACTAGGAAGCTGCATAATGAGATTTCTTTTTTTATGGTTAATTAGCAGCAGCTATGGAAGAAAACTTAATTGGAGAGATGTTGTTGAGTGGGAAAACCAAATATTCTAACATTGTCTAGTTCATGTGTAGATCACACATGAGTCTAGTAGAATGACCAGTAGGATATTTGTGTGAGAATAAGACACTTTTAAAGTTTGCTTGCGAAGATTGGTAGGTGACATTCTTGGAGATCTTCAGGGGTAAGAGGAGCAGAGTGGGGGGTCAGCCCCATCGGGAAGCATGGAGTACCTGGTACGGTTGTTTACGGTCACTCCAAACGCCGAAACCCTCAGGTGTCACCTGACGGCACATGTATGGGACGTGTGTACTGAAGCTAGAAACGGCCAGCAAGAGAACTCCGAGAAGACGTGGACCTGCGGGCTGGAGGCCGCGATGCAGTGAAGACGTCCTTCTCCCCACACTGGTCTGTGGGTTTAACACGGGTCTCTTCAGAGCCCCGGCAGGATCTTGTAGACATCAACAAGTTGATTCTAAGATTCATATCAAAAGGCAGAGGAAAGGGGTAGCAACACGGTTTTGAGGACGAAGACTACAAGTGGAGGAATCACAGCACTTGACTGTCAGACTTGCTGTATTGTTTCTGCGGCCAAGACCGTGTTTGGCAGAGGGGGACCCGTCGATCTAGGAGCAGACCCACCGTCCACACGTGGACCTGCAGGTGTGGGAACAGTCGGACACTCACAGGCGTAGAAGTGACCCTTGACCTAAACATCACACTTTATATACACACGAATTCAAGATGGATCATACAGCCAAATGTGTCCAAAACAAAACTACAATTTGTAGAAGAAAATCTACCCTGATCTAGGGTTAGACCTTCGACATGGAACCAAAGGCACAGTCCATGAAATGAAAACTCATAGGTCAGACTTCATCAAATTGAAACATTGCGGCTTCTGCCTCAGGAGTAGTGCTGTGCAGGGCTCCAGGGACCCACTCCCCGGACAAGTAACCCTAACTGGTGAAGATGATAAAAAGCAACCACTTAAGGTCTCTGGAGATTGTCCTGGGGGCATACAACAAAAAAAGAAACACTTATCCAGGAGAATCCTGTGAGTCTGGCATTCGCGTCAGGCCCTGCTCCCTCCCTGCATCCCTCCGGCTCAGCCCAGGGAAGCTCCATCGTCCCGGCCCCGCTCGTCCCTAGGGTGGAGGTCCACGCAGCTGAGGCCAGCCGAGACCAAGCGGCTTGGCGAGCAGGGCTGACGGCCTGAGTGCCGTTTCTGCCCTGCTCCAGGGCAGCCCATGGGGAGGAGGCCGGCAATGCAGGAGGGCAGCCGGCTCAGCTTCCCACCGGGAAGTGATCACCCTGAGAAGCCTCCTCAAAGGTTTGTCCTGAAAGCCACCCAGTACAGGAGCCTAACGTGACGATCTGACAGTGGAGCCGTTTGCAAAGGGTAGAGCAGTTAGGTGGCTGAGTCCAACAGCTGGTGCAGTAGCTGGGTCACTGCCGCCTGGAGGCCTTTGTCCAGGACTGCAGCCAGGAAGCCCTGGAGGGAGGGGGAGTCATCTGCACAGCCACTCAGTACAGCACCTAAAATGTCCAGTTTCAGCAAAAATTGTGAGACATGTAAAGGGCCAGGGATATGTGAACCACACAGAAGAAAAGCAGCAGACGCAGGCACTGCCCGTGGTGGGGGCAGCAGACGAGGCTTCCAAGCAGCCTCTGTGTCTTCGGGGCTGAAGGAGACACGTCAAAGCGTCGTCAGCACGGGTCTCGGTCTGCGGGGGCACTTCAGGAGCGGGCGCTGACTTTCTCACAGTTGTGGAGGCAGGCAGCCCAGGTCAAGGTGCTGGTGTGTTCCTGGCGGGGCTCCTCCTGGCTTGTAGGCTCTCGCTTACTCAGCTGCTCCTACAAGGGCACTAATCCCGGCGGGTCAGGGCCCTTACCCTCAAGACCCCCGTTGCCTCCTTGCTCCAAATACGGCCACCCTGATGGTCAGGGCCTCACAGGTGGTCCTGAGGACACAGTTTAGCCTAGAAGGTGACGGCAATGTCTCAACATGTGGAGAAAATCAGTAAAGGGAGGAGCCACCGGGGAGAGCCCGGTGGAGATTCTGGGGTTGACACGTAGGACAGAAGCTCACTTGCGGGTCCACAGCAGGTTTGAATGGGCAGCAGGAAGGGCCAGCGAGCCCACAGGGGTCTTGGGCGTGAGCTGGGAGGCTCACCTGATCTTCACGTTTTCCTGCTGTTTCTGCTCCATCGAGGTTCTCTCCTCCCGCATGTCGGGGCCTCAGGGTCTGCGGGGCGCCCCCTGCTCCCCGTGGGCCCTCTCCCTTCTCCTTCCTTGGTCCCCACTTGTTTTCTGTCTCCCGGGGATTCCTAAAAATTCGGTGTTGATATTACTCTCCTGTTGGAAGTGCTGTTAACTCACACGTTCTCTCTGAAAGTACCTTTTCTGTTATTTTAAGCCGTTTGGGGCCTAAAGGGAGCTAAGGGAGCTTTGCACGGTTCCGTCTTCTGGCCGCAGTCTGGGCATGTCTCCAGGCAGGTCGCCATTGGAGAAGAGTCCCAGGTGGCGTTTCCACGCATCTCACTTTGCCTTCCGCCCCCCCTCCCCCAGAGCGGGCCCGTCAGGCTCTTCGTCCCCTACAAGAGGCGCAAGAAGGAGAGCGAGCTGCCCGCCACACCCGTCAAGAAGGATGCCCCCAAGAACATCACCCTGCTTCCCGCCGCAGCCGCCACCACCTGTGAGTCACAGTGAAGCAGCTGTCGTCACGCGACATGCTCTTAGCGTGTCCTGCTCACGCGTGTGGCCGAGGGGTCTGGTTCAAAAGCAGGCACGGCTGCCGCTCATGGGGCTCCCTGGCCTCTTCGGTCCCGGCCTGTCCTTGGCATGGACTTCACTTCGCGCAGCCCTCAGGCCCTCTCGCCGCCCCAGGGGCAGGCGCGGCTGGGGCACGTGTAGGGAGGGCGGAGGCGGGGGAGGCGCCTGCTTCTGAAACCGGGAGGAGGCGAGTTGGGCTGAGTTGGGCTGCGGTGGTGGGAGAGGCCTGGGAGGCGCCCGGTCGCTAGGGGCTGTCAGCAGCCTGACGGCTCCTGCAGGGGAGGCGCCCCATGTCCTTGGGGCTGGTCGGCAGGAGGAAACAGAGCCCCCAGAATGCCGGGGGCCCCGCTGTGTTTTCTCTTCAGCTTTGACAAAAATCTTTTTCTTAATTCAAGCTACAAAGTCCTTCTTACGTTCTTTTAAATTTTATCTCTTGCCTTCTGACGAGACAGTACATCCAGGTGCTCAGGACACACAGCAGGAGCTGCGTCTGCTGGGGTAGGCGTCTCTGGCCCCCCCCCAGGCACCGCCCCTGCGGAGGTGGCTGTGGGCCGGCGGACGCTGCTGTGGCCCCCGCGCACCCCACCCCGACCCCTGGGTTTTTCTGCAATGTGCCCAGTGGGCCCAGCACGCGGTGACAGCTCTCCTGCTTTTCCAGTCACCGTGACCCCCTCAGGACAGATCACTACCTCTGGCGCGCTGACCTTCGACCGGGCGTCCACCGTGGAGGCCACTGCGGTCATCTCGGAGAGTCCGGCCCAGGGCGACGTCTTTGCGGGAGCCACAGGTGAGTTGTCTCAGCGCCTGGCAACGCGGCCCCAGCGGGTCGCTGGCAGGAGCTGTGGGGACCCCCGCAGGCAGGGGCGGCGGGACCAGGGCCTGAGAAGCTGAGGCTGCTCACGGAGCCTAGACGGGCGCTGCGGGGCAGAAACGCCCCATGTGCACGTGGAATGTTCTGGTAGCCGCCTCCGGAAAGTGAAAGGGAACAGTGGAAACTGGCTTTTGTACTGTGTTTTATTTCATGCAGAACATCCCAAATACTGTCCCTCTGACAGTTCACGTCCCCCACTTCCGCGGCTCAGGAGCTGCCCTGTTGGACGTGCAGCACAGCTGGGTCTCACGCCATCATGTCCCTCTCCCCTGACAGTACAAGAAGCAGGCGTGCAGCCCCCATGCAGGGTCGGCCACCCGGAGCCCCACTACCCAGGGTATCAGGACAGCTGTCAGATCGCACCGTTTCCGGAGGCCGCGTTGCCAACATCTCATCCCAAAATAGGTCAGTGTGGAAGAATTCTCCACGAGTGGCCGTCACGTGCAGAATCATCCTTCTGAAAGGCTTCCTAGGCGGAGTGGGGTGTGGGGCCTCAGGCCTGCGCTTGTAAAGCGGGTTCCACTGGAAGCTGCTGCTCATTTCTGTGTGGGGTGAGGCTGCTCACGTAGCGACCTTTGACCTGCAGCGCCTGAGATTCGGCTAGGCTCTGACCAGGACACTGTGCTTGGGGTCTGTCCCGTGAGGGCGCTCGTCCGGGTGGCCTCAGGTGAGAGGGTGTGTGCGTGTCTGCGACTCGCCCCGCCTGAAGCTTAACGGGGACGTGGCCCCACGTGTGCATTTTGAGCGATTTGTCACTGACGGCACGTTTTGGACACATTCTATGTCAGGACACTTTTTTACAGGGAGCATCGTAATCCCAGCTGGTGGACCTTTGTGTTTTTTACAGTTTCCGCCAGAGACAAGACAGCAAGATAGAAATTTGTCCCTGAGTCCTAGAAAACGCCCCTTCTCCTTCTCCTTTTCTTGTCTCGCTGCGCTCTCCTCTTGCTGTGACGCCCCTCACACCCTTAAAGCTCGCCTCTGTTCTGCCTCTTCCCCACACCTTGCCTCAGACCCTGGCCCCAGGCCCGGTGAGCCTCCTGGCCGGGCTGTGGCCCTGCTGACTGCGGGGTCTGGGCAGGGACTGGATGGGGAGTGCCCGCCCCATGCGGTCGGCCGTGCCCTGAGCAGGGCTGCGAGGCCTGGGCGACCCGTCCCCCGTCTGCTTGCTTGCTTGTTTGCTTGTTTCAGCGTGGACGCGTGGCTTCCTGTTTCTTTCAGGGCGTTGCAACCTGTTGCTGGGGTGATTTGTATTGGGATGGTCCCTGATTTGGCTGGCAGGGGCCCCGAGAGCGGCTGCTGCGTCCTCTGTCCACCCTGTCACGCTGCCTGCTTCCTTATGTCCGGGCCCAGGGCCCTGCCCTTGCGGGGGCGGGGCATGGCCAACGGGGCAGGCGTCGCACGTCCGGCTCCCGTGTGTCTCCTGCAGCCTGTGTCCAGTGACCTCCAGCTGGGGGCTTTTACACCGAGGACTCGGGCGATGCTACCGTCAGGTGTTCTTCTCTGGGAGGATGTTAGACATTCAGCAGCACAGCCTGGGTGTCTCTGCCCCCAGGCCCCCCGGGACAGGGGTGGGGAGCCCTTGCGCGTCCGCGTGTGTGAGTCTCCACTTCCCGTCCAGAACAGCGTCCCTTTGAGGTTCCCTCCCGCCTCCATGACTTTCTTCTCCAGCTGAGGGGACCCTGTCTCCTACATCCCTCATCAGCCCCCCGGGGATCACAGACATCCCCGAAGGCTTTCTGTGTGAGCAGAAGCGAAACCAGGAGGTTTTAGTTCTTCCGTCTGCTTTACTTTTTATGTGATGTGACAGCCCCCCGCCCCACACTGGCTCTGCACAAGCTCTGTGGTCACCTCACCTGCAGCTGTTGTGTCATCCATGGACGGGTGGCTTGAAGGGGGGCCGCCACCCTACTCCCCACGCTGGACGAGCAGAGGCGCCTCGAAGCCAGGAGGCGGGTTAAGTTCTTGCTGTGTTTTGCTTTCCACATGCTAGTGTTGACATCCTTGCCCGCCCTGGCGGTGCCTCCCTCCACCCCCACCAAAGCCGTGTCTCCCGCTGTGGTCAGCGGGCTGGAGATGTCGGAACAGCGGAGCTGGCTGTACCTGGAGGAGATGGTCAATTCCTTGCTCAGCACCGCGCAGCAGCTGAAGACGTTGTTTGAACAGGCCAAGCAGGCCAGCTCCTACCGAGAAGCCGCCGCGGCCCAGGCCAGAGTCCAGGCGGATGCAGAGCGGAAAGAGGTACCATTTGCGCAGCGGGTCTGGGGCTGCCACCTGCAGAGCCCGCCCACCTTCCTGGGCAGGGGACCTGGCGGCCCACGCACAAGTGAAGCTTCTCTGATAGACAAGTGGCCACCGTTACCTGTCGGGCGTTTTTGTCCCTCACACGCACCAGCCGTTGTTTTTGAGTGCCCGCCTGTTGTAGATGTCACTCACCTGGTCAGGCCGTCTTCCTCCCGGGGAAACGGGTCTCGTGTGTTATCAAATCTGGAGGAGCGTCCTCTGGTGTGTCTTTGGGGCAGAGGTCTTGCGGTCACCAGCCCCTCCAGGCACCCAGCTCTGTGGCCGCATCTCAGCCCCACGGGGACTGGCTTCTCAGCCCCAGAGGAGCCGTCACAGGTATTTCGCTGCTGATGAGGTCCCCGTGGTTCGGGAAGCCTGGCGCCCAGAGCGTTTCCTGCAGCACAGGGTCCCTCAGCCGTGTGGCGCCTTTTGGGATGCAGTCTTCCAGGTGATGTGGAGCAGGTGCCCAAGCCGAGCGGAGGTGTGTCCTCACTGCCCAGGGCTCATCTGGGGCCGGAGGAGGGCGGGCGGGCTGCTTGGTACCCAGAGCCCTCTTGGGAGCGGCTGGAGGCGGGAGAACGGACAGTGATGCGTCTTCAGTGTCACTTTGGTTTGTAGGTGAGTCGAATTGGTTTATCTCCACCAAATCCATATAAGAAAAAGAATTTCAGTTAGTACTACTTTTTATAGGTAAAGGGGAAAGAAGAGCTTTTCAGGTGCAGTTTTCCTTTTTCTTCTTTTTTTTTTTTGGCCGCGCCGCCTGGCTTGCTGGATCGTAAGTAGGGGGCTCTCATTGCCGAGAGGCAGTGGATTGAAAGCCTACGTGCGTCTTTTATGGAGTTGCTTTTACTCTGCTGCGCCCCAGCCAGCCGCTCCGCATGGTCGCCTCTTCCTGCACTTCACTGACCTCCTTCATCTTCGCTTCTTTAATAACTGACCTTTGGGTCAGCTCAGGATCTGCCTCTGTTCACTCCTTTCCTCTTGACTGGAAGCTCTGTTCCTTCCTTCACATTCCAGTCATTTTGATTGTTGGACCTTTTGGGTTATTCACGGCAGAAGCTCTGAGTTCTGTTGGATTCTCTCTCTTCCCCTGAAAAGTGCTGGACTTGGTTCTCAGAAGCAGCTGAGCTCCTGGCTGGTCTCCTGAACTCTGTTGTGTGAGGGGGAGTCTGTCTCGGTTACCTCTGCCCGTCACATCTCTAGTCCTGGTCTGGGTCACGTGCGGGAATGCAGGCCCTTCTGGGGGCGGGGGGCACCAAGATCCCTGCTCAGCGCCGCCTTCTGGGCTGCTCTTTCTGTTGGCTCAGCCCCGTGCTGGCTGCATGGGGGCGGCAGGTGCCTGTGGCCATCTGTGCTGATCTCGGTCTCCCTTGGCTTCCAGCCATCTGGCAGCTCCATCTTCAGCCCTCTGCCCACCCCCCAGCCCAGGTGACCACGGCCCCTTGCTGTGGCCCCACACACCTGGTGGGCAGGGGAGGCCCTGAGGCTGCCCCACCTGCGGGGGGCCTTCCCCCCCCCCCCCCCCCCCCCGGGTTCGCTCCCCCCCCCCCCCCCCCCCCCCCCCCCCCCCCCCGGGCCTTTCTCCCCCCCCCTCCCCGGGGTTCAGCCCTGCAGACTGCTCTGGTCACCAGAAGGGCAGCTGCTCCTTCCTTTCTGGGTCTGGAGGCCGCACGCGCGGGGCAAGAGTGCGCTCTTGCTGCTCAGCTGCCGGTTCTTCAAACATTTAATGTCTGCATGTTCCATGTTTGTAAACAGTTTACTAGTCCTGTTTCTAAAATACTTGATCGTATCTGGTTTTTGCGGTTATAACCAACGTCTTAATCGCAAAATGCACTCATGTTCACACGTTTCTGATCATATACTTCAGAGAAGTCCCCAATGTGCATAACGAAAGGGCATTTTTTTCTTCGTTGAAACATGGTTCACGTACTGTGGAATTCACACCTTTAAGGTGCACAGTCCAGTAGTTTGTTCACCAACTTGTACGGCCACCACCACCATCTGATCCCAGATCGTTTCCCCTCCCAAAGGAGCCGCCACTCCCCACCACCCGCAGGCCCCAGCTGCGCCAACCTGCTTTCTGTCTCTGTGGCTTTGCCAGTTCTGGATGTTTCTTGGAAACGGAGTCACACAACATGTGGCCTTTTGTGTCTGGCTTCTTCCACTGAGCAGAGTGTTTTCAGGGTCCGTCCACGTAGCCTGGGTCAGAATTTCATTCCTTTTTATGGCTAAACATTAGTTGTCGCACCGCATGTTTCTTCACTCAGCCATTGGTGGACATTCGGGTTGTTTCTACTTCTTGGCTCTTGTGGACAGTGCCCTGAACATTTTTGCACGGCCGTTTGTGTGGACGTGTGTTGTCACTTCTCCTGGGTGCGTACCTGGGAGCAGAGCCGCTGGGTCCCACGGTGGCTCAGGGTTCACTTTCTGAGGAGCCACCAGACTTTGCCAGGGCGGCTGCCCATCCTGCATCCACCACCGTGTGTGCCGTGTGCCTTGCCCACGGCCTCACCACCACCTGTCCCTGATGAGCACGGCGGGGGGGCGACCCTCCCTTCCCCGGGGGTGGCGAGGATGCCCCCTTGCCGAGACTCTGGGAGTGGAGGAGACCACAGTGTCCCCCCGTCAGGCCGGCTGGACAGCGGGTGGGCGGGTGGCTCGGATCTGGGGTGGTGGCGACAGCACAGAAAGCCGGACCTCATCCCCGCAGGGAAGTGCAACGGGAAAACGGTTTAACTTTCAGTTTTACGTTTTTCATTAATTTTTGTGGACCTTACCTTCACAGAATAAAATTACAAGTAAATTAGACACATCCCTTCCCCTCTGTGAAAATTCTCCAAAGACAGGTGGCATGAAAAAGACGGAGTGAGGCGTTGCCACCTGGTCGGTCCCGAGGTTACTTTCAGGGCACCGTGTTGAGTCAGCTGCGTGGGTTTTGTCTTTCACGTAGGAATAGCCCACAGTCATGGCCACGCTCATCCCACATTTAAGGGTCCAGGAGCTGAATTCCTGTTGTGCAGAACTTCCCCCTCGACCCACCGTGGGACACGTGCTGACGTGCGTGTCCGTCGGGTCAGCCAGGAGCGTCTGCCGCAGCTGGATCGCTGAGTACCCCACCGTGAAAGGTTGGGCTTTGCATTTCATTTGTAATTTTATGAATTTCTAAGGAAGAAATACAACGTGAAATCCTTTTATCCTTAAAATCCTGTTTGGCGGAAGGATGCTCAGCCTTTAGTGAGGGGCTTGAGCCCACTTCCCCCGCCAAGGCATCCGACACGTTCCCACACCCGGAGCTTGGAAAATGGCTGGAGCTCTTACAGGTGTGCTTGTCCTCTCTCCGGAGCTGTAGGTGTGACGTGTCCTCCAGTAGTTTTCCTGTAAGCTGATCACATGGCGGGGGGAAGCTAGGCATCCGTCCTGTCCGAGTGCCACCGGTGGGTGGACGCCAGTGTCCTTTTGTGTGTGCTGGTGTCACGAGGCTCCTCGGGTGACCTGGTTAAGTTGCTTGCAGACGTGGGTTGACCACCCTGTGCACCCTGTGTGTTTACCCTTCGTAACGGCAATGTGTCTGATCCCTGTGGCCCCGTGATGACCACAGCTCCTCGACACTGGGTTCTTGGGAACCAGACTCCTCGGAGAGCCTGTTCCCCAGGATCCTTTGGGGGCTTCAGGGGGCTCGGGGGGGCTGAGAGGCCCCGACCTCAGTCACATGTGAGTGAGGGGACGCAAAACGTGTCCCTGAAGCAGGTGGCGGCAGTGAGAAGCGGCCGGCGGGGCCCGGGGGACAGTGAGCCAGGAGGCCAGGTGGGGAGCACTGGTGGCTGTTGTGGAGAGGCTGCTGGACACCCTGACGTCGCCAGGGTGAGACGGAGCCCCCCAGCTGGGTGGTTGGGGGAGGGCTGCCCCGGAGAACTCTTCTGGAAGGTCCTGTCCACGGCAGCCTCCTTAGGGTGCTGGGGCTTGGTGGGGAGGACCGGACGAGTGAGGCCCCGGGACCCCTAGGAGGAGGCTGAGCCCTCGCTCCCTGGCTCCCTGGGAGGGCGCAGGTGCTGGCGGCCCAGGGTGGGGAAGCAGGGCTGCCTGCTTGGACGCTGTCTGTGGAATTTCTTGAAAAGTCACGTTTTAGCCCTGCTGAACTATTAAGGAGATTTTGCCAGTTTTAACCATGGGGCATTTGTGTTGTGTGTATATAGTTAGCTCAGCAGAGATTAAACAGGGCGGAAGACCAGACGCCCTTCCCGTCAAGGGCGCTGTGTCCATCCAGCACAAGCCAGCCACGTGGCTGCAGGGCGCCGGGCCGCCTGCCACGGCCCCGGCTGGGGGAGCGCGCGCACTCTGGGCCCCATCCCTGTGCTCTGGCCTCTGTTCATGCCTCCCGGCTCCTTCTCAGGCCTTCGATGATCTTCCCAACTTCCTTTTCTAGAGGGAATTGTGGCCCAAAGAGTAGCAGTGGCGGGCAGTCTGGGCGGCGCCTCTGGCTGCACCGCAGACGCTGTTCTCAGCGTTGGAAGAGAGCCGGTGCCCGCGGGTCAGTCCGGTGACACCTCTTCCAGGCTGCAGACATGCCTCCTGGCCGAGCCAGGGCTGGGGGAGGCCTCTGGCTTCTCTCTTCTCATCAGCCCCCGACCCCCGTCGCGGACTCGTCTCACTCCAGGGCCCCAGGGCCCAGGCCCAGCACATGCGCATGTGGGGCAGGTCGGAGGGTTCCCTCTGTGGAGCGATTGCCCCTTTCCCCCCTTAGGCACCCGGGGTGGCGGCCCCCTCCTGGACAGCGGTGATCTCGGATGTTCCAGAATTCCCCTCCGCGGGGCCTGCCTCTTGCACATTTGTTTGTACTCTGTTTCTAGCAGGAGGGGCTCACGGCACCCGTGTTACTTGTTCTGCTCATCCGGTTTGGCTTTGGCGGCTGGAGCTCTGTCGGCTCCCGCGTCCCTTACGTGCCTCTCAGAGCACCTCCCTCCTTTCTGGTGCTAGAAGACGCTCCAGGCCCATCTTGGGGGTTCCCCGCCCCAGCCCTGGAATCGGCCGTTTCTCCAGGGAGCCTGGTTCCTTTATTGGAGAACGAATGCTCTTAGGAACCAAGATCTGGGCGCTCTCAGCTGGCAGCAGGGAAGCAGTGGGTCCGACCGATGTGTGCAGACACAGCCCGAGGGCTCTGTGGCCGTCCGTCTCTGTCTGTGTGTCAGCCGGCGTGTCTGAGCCAGATCTCCTGCCCCAGGTTAGCTTGGGTTAAGAAGTAATTCCCAAGGGGATGTGTTGGGAGCCCGGGGTCGGAAGTTCTTGCCGCACAAGAGCGGCTCCCGCTCCACAAGGTCTGCTCATGACACAGGCTCTTCATGCACTTAAGAGGTATTTATTGAGCGGTGGCTGTTTTCCAAGAACTGTGCTGGTGCCAGGAGCACCAACATGGCAGGTCCAGGTGAGCGGGACTCGCGGGCTCGCGGGGGACAGGGTGTGACACGAGGCCGCTTCCCTGAGGACTTCCAAGCTGAGAGGCAGGAGGGTCCATGGGACCCCCAGCCTCACGGGCAACCGCACCTCTGCTCCCACTAACTGTGAGACCTTTGCTCTCCCTGGAGGAATTTCTATGTGTGGTTACAGACTTCGGTTTTTTCCTGTAAGTATTTTGTTCTTTAAAGTAGGGACAGTGGACAAGCTAACTTAGTAGTATCTCAGAGTCCCCGTAATGCGCGTGTTTCCTGAAGCGAGTGAGGGGGTAGCGGGGGCTCGGGGTGGAGCGTGTCAGTCAGCGCTGGGCAGAGAAGGGAGCTGCAATCCAGAACAGGAAGCAAGAAGCAATTTGCTGCTTTGCATGTACTCTCGGGGGTAGCGGTGGGAGGCGGTCAGCGGTGTTAGGAACGGGCGTCTGGTGTGGCTCATGGGTGTGCAAGTCACACACTCACCCGCTGGCTGGGAGCAGGGGCCTGGCCTGCAGTCAGTGCAGCCAGGTGCGCCGGACAGCGTGGGTCACGGCTGCACACACCAGCGCTAGCGGTGCCACTGGAGTCCCCCTCCCTGGCTGGTTAGAAGGAGTGGCTCCTTCGCGTCTTGTGGGGAAGACACACAGAAGACCCACCTAGTGGAGCTGCGTGACTGGGCCAGGGGTGCCTGGGCTGCGGATGAGGGTCCGGCTGGGGGCCGCAGGGCCTGACCGCTCAGGAGACGATCCTGACAGCTGAGAATCCTGGCCTTCCTCAGTTTGGTTTCTTGCACGTACTTGGTGGCAGTGAAATCCCCTGGTATTTGGAGCAAGGTTGGTGCAGCGGTGTGATCCGGAGCCCTGCTTCCCGCTCAGCAGTGCCCACCCCGCATCTGGGCAGCGGGGGGCGGGGACGCGGGTCAGCCTGTCCCCGCGACTGACGCCTGTGTCCTCTTGCAGCAGTTCTGTGTCAACTGCGGCCGGGAGGCCCTGAGCGAGTGCACCGGCTGCCACAAGGTCAACTACTGCTCCACCTTCTGCCAGCGCAAGGTAGGCCCCCCCCACCGTGCCACCTCCGCACTGTCCCTGGGCTCCGGCAAAGCCCCGAGGCAGCCACACAGGCCGTGGCCATGGAGGCCGCTGCTCCCCAGTGACCTTGACCTTGTCGTTGTCAGTGCTCCCCAGCCCTGGACGCCTCGTCATAAACCCTGAAAGTCAGTGCGGTTGTACGTGTAGGCGTCTGATTCTAAGAAGATTAAAGAGTGTTCTGGAGTAGCAGTTGCTAGTTCGGGTTTTTACCACTTTTCTCACCCTTACTCAGAGTGAGGGGCCAAGCCGTTGACTGGGACCTGTGGGGTTATCCTCTCCTCTTAGAAACTTTCCACGATTAAAAAAGGTAACTTGGGCTTCCCTGGTGGCGCAGTGGTTGAGAGTCCGCCTGCCGATGCAGGGGACACGGGTTCGTGCCCCGGTCCAGGAAGATTCCACGTGCCGTGGAGCCGCTGGGCCCGTGAGCCATGGCTGCCGAGCCAGTGTGTCTGGAGCCTGCGCTCCGCAACGGGAGAGGCCACAACAGCGAGAGGCCCACGTACTGCCAAAAAAAAAAAAAAAAAAGGTAACTTGCCGGGTGGACAAATAGTAAAAAATCCCACCCCTGGTGCCTGTGACTTGGAGCTGCATCTGCGGACACAGCCTCTGCTGCGCAGGGGACCCTGTGCCTGGCGGCTTCCCAAAGCGCCCCATCCTCAGATGTCCTCGGGAGGGAGGTGGGCAGGAATGACCCCCAAGACTAGGGTGTGTGGGACGTGGCATCTTCCTCTGTGTCTCAGGGCTTCCCGGGGGGCTGCAGGGGTCAGCACAGCGCGGAAGGTGTGTCCAGGGGCTCCCAGCTACGCTCCTGAGCCCTGGCCCGTTCCCGGGGCGGGAGACTTGGGAAAGAGACCCGCAGGTCTGCTTTCCCTGGTGTCACCTATGGCTCGTGTGCTGAGCAGAGGGCCCGCATGCCTGCTGCGCTCGGGGACGCTGGGAGGAGCCCAGGCAGCCAGGAGGAGCCGGCGGGGTGGACGGGCTCCTGCTGGCTCGTGATCTGAGAGGGCGGCTGATCGGTGGTTCTTCCCTGACTGTGAACCATCAGAGGAAGATTCGTGAGTTTATTTCGTGATGGAGCCGTTTTAGCCAGATAGCACTTTGTCTAAATGCAAGCTGCAGTCTTGGAACCTCTCTTGGTGAATTGGGCAGGTATATTTCAGGTGTAACCTTGTTGACAAAGACTCCATTTCTTCCGTTGGTTGTGTTGGGTTTGTGCTCCTGTGACTCGCTGCCCTGATAAAGGCATAGGCTTTGGTTTTATTGGGTTGGCCACAAAGTTCCTTCGGTTTTGAAGTAAAAACAAAAGACACATTTTTCATGTTTCCCAACAACTTTATTGAACAACGTATTCACCGTTTTGTTCCACTACCTTCTGCCATTTTTCAGCCAACTTCATAATTCCATCTTCCCAAAACTTTTTATCTTTTTGAGCAAAGAACTGTTCCAGGTGCCTTTTACAGTCTTCCCGAGAATTGAAATTTTTTCCATTAAGAGAATTTTGTAAAGACCAAAATCAATGGAAATCCGAAGGGGCAATGTGTGGTGAATACAGCGGATGAATCAGAACTTCCCAGCCAAGCTGTAACAATTTTTGCCTGGTCATCAAAGAAACATGCGGTCTTGCATTATCCTGATGGAATATGATGCGTTTCCTGTTGACTCATTCCAGACGCTTTTTGTCGAGTGCTGCTTTCAGTTGGTTTAATTGGGAGCAGTACTTGTTGGAATTAACCGTTTGGTTTTCCAGAAGGAGCTCATAATAGAGAACTCCCCTCCACTCCCACCATATACACATCACCTTCTTTGGGTGAAGACCGGCCCTTAGTGTGGTTGGTGGTGGTTCATTTCGCTGCCCCACGATCTCTTCTGTTCCACATTATTGTACAGTATCCACTTTTCATTGCCTGTCACAATTTGTTTTAAAAATGGAACGTTTCCATTACGTTTAAGTAGAGAATCGCATGCAGAAATATAGTCAAGAAGGTTTCTTTCGCTTGACTTATGTGGAACCCAGACATCAAAGCAATGAACAGACCCAAGCTGGTGCAAATGATTTTCAGGCTTGATACGGAGATTTTGAGTATGTCGGCCTCTCCCGCGTGGGTATAACGTTGATTGTTCTCAATTATTGTTTCGATTTGATAGCTTTCAACTTCAACTGGTCTACCCGACTGTGGAACATCGTCCAGCAAGAAATCTCCAGCACGAAACTTCGCAAACCACTTTTGACATGTTCGATCAGTTACAGGACCTTCTCCACGCACTGTGCAAGTCTTTTTTGGGGGGGGTTTCAGCTGCGTTTTTACCTTTCTTGAAATAGTAAAGAATAATATGCCGAAAATGTTGCTTTTTTCCTTCAATATTAAAATGGCTACACAAAAATTCACCAATTTTGATAACCTTTTTTTTTTTTTTTTTTTTGCGGTACGCGGGCCTCTCACTGTTGTGGCCTCTCCCGTTGCGGAGCACAGGCTCCGGACGCGCAGGCTCAGCGGCCATGGCCCACAGGCCCAGCCACTCCGCGGCATGTGGGATCCTCCCGGACCGGGGCACGAACCCGTGTCCCCTGCATCGGCAGGTGGACTCTCAACCACTGCGCCACCAGAGAAGCCCTGATAACCTTTTTTTAAATGCATGGTGATATGACAGCTGTCACAATACAGTATAACAAAATTGTTTCGAATGAAGTTAAAGACAATTAAACGCTACTAGAGCCATCTTATGGAAAAAAACAAACTCTTTGGCCAACCCAATATTTACAAAAATCAGTGTACAGTGAAGTTCAAGAACGGTTAATTTTCACGTGGGATCCATCGTGAACCCTCGGTAGGACCTGAAAAAACTTAAGCTCTGGGCTCCTTGTAATAAATGGTGGTGCCGACAGTACAGCTTCTGGGCCTGCCCACTGTGCTCCCCAGAATTCTGTGTGCTCCCCAAAGACCTGGAAAGGTAGTTAATGTTACTCACCTTCTTACAAGTTGGACAAGGGCCATGAATTGTTTTGGCTTTTACGTGCAGACTATTTTCTTTGCAGATCCCATGTCAGGTGTGTGTGTGTGTGTTTTACATCTTCATCGAGGTGGAATACATACCATAAAATCCACTAATTTTAAGGGTACGATTCAGTGGGTTTTAGTAAGTTTGCATTTGGGCAAACATGACAATTTGGTTTTAGAACTTTCCATCACCCCCGAAAGCCCCCTCGGCCCACACCCCAGCCGCTGGCAACCACGAATCTCTTTCTCTGTAGATATGCTTCTTCTGGACATTTCACGTAGCAGGAGTCGTATAACACGTGGTCTCCCGCGTCTGGCTTCCTCTGACCAGTGTGTTTTCAAGGTTCATCCATGTGGAGCCTGAGTAGCGTCCACGGTGTGGCTGGACCTCGTCTTGTCCTCCAGTCCTCAGCCAGCGGACATCTGAGTGGTTCCCACCATGTGACTGTCGTGAACACTCACGAGCGAGCTCCAGGGTGGAGACAGGTTTTTGTTTGTCTCGGCTACATGCGTACATGGATTTGCTGAGTCATATGGTAAACTTGCGTTTAACTTTAGTAAGAAGCTTCCCAACTTTTCCGAAGTGACTGCACCCCCTCCAGTGGCGGGTCCGCCCGTGTCCACAGCGCTGGCTCTTGCTTTCTGGTCGTAGCCCTGCTACCGGCTGTGAAGCGACGTCAGTGCGTTTAGTCTGCATCTCCCTGATGTCTAAGGGCGCCGAGCATCGTTGTGTGTGCTGATCGGGCGTTGTGTATCTTTTGGGGGGAAATGTCTATTCAGATCTTTTGCCCGTTTTTAAATGGGATCGTTTCTCTTCTTATCGAGTGTGGAGATGTCTGTGTATATCCTGGATACAAGTCCTTTATCAGATACGTGATTTCCAAGTACTTTCCCCCAGTCTGTGACTTGTCTCTTTATTTCTTAATAGTGTCATTTGAAGGGCAAAAGTTTTTTAATTTTGATGAAGTCCAGTTTACTTTAAAAAAATTTTTATTATCTATTATTTTTTATTTTTGGCCTTGCCATAAGGCTTATGGGATCTTAGTTCCCGACCGGGGAGCAAACCCGGGCCCCCTGCAGTGGAAGCATGGAGTCCTAACCACTAGGGAAGTCCCAAGAAGTCCAGTTTATTAAAAAAACATTTTTAATGGAGATCACGCTCTTGGTGTCATCTCTCAGAACTTCTGCCTGACTCAAGGTTAGGAGAATCTCCTATTTTCCTCTAAAACATTTATAATTTTAGGTTTTTTTTTTTTTTTTTTCGGCTGCATAGCATAGCTTGCAGGATCTTAGTTCACCAACCGGGGATTGAATCTCAGCCATGGCAGTGAAAGTGCCGGACCCTAACCACTGGCCCACCAGGGAGCTCCCTTTAAGCTCTTACTTGTAGATTTATGACCCATCTTGAGTTAATTTTTAGGTATGGTGTGAAACACTGTGGACTTGAGCCCAGCACACATGAAGTTTTCCGTACTGTACAGACTTACAGAGTCAGGTAATCTACATAGTCAGGTAATTTACAAACTAAAAATTTATCCTTTTGAGTCTAAAAATAACAGGTGCTGGAGAGGGTGTGGAGCAAAGGGAACCCTCTTACACTGTGGGTGGGAATGTAAATTGGTGCAGCCACTGTGGAGAGCAGTATGGAGGTTCCTTACTAAACTAAAAATAGAGTTGCCATTTGATCCAACAATCCCACTCCTGGGCATTTATCCAGAGAAAACTCTAATTCGAAAAGATACATGCACCCCAGTGCTCATAGCAGCACTGTTTACAATTGGCAAGACATGGAAGCAACCTAAATGTCCATCAACAGAGGAATGGATAAAGAAGATGTGGTTCACACATACAATGGAATACTACTCAGCCATAAAAAGGAATGAAATAATGCCATTTGCAGCAACAAGGATGGACCTAGAGATTAGCATTCTGAGTGAAGTAAGTCAGAACGAGAAAGACAAATACCATATATCACTTATATGTGGAATCTAAAATATGACACAAATGAAATTATTTACAAAACAGAAACAGACTCACAGACATAGAGAACAGACTTGTGGTTGCCAAGAGGGAGTGGGGTGGGGGAGGGAGGGATTGGGGTTAGCAGCTGCAAACTATTATCCATAGGCTGGATAAACAAGGTCCTAATGTGTAGCATGGGGAACTACATTCAATATCCTGTGATAAACCATAATGGAAAAGAATGTGCAAAAGAAAAAATACATGTATATAACTGAGTCACTTCGCTGTACAGCAGACATTAACACAACACTGTAAATCAACTAAACTTCAATAAAAAATTTTTAAAAATTTATTCTTTTGATATAAAACAGGCAGACCTCGTTTTATTGCACTTCTCAGATGTTGTGTTCTTACAAATTAAAGGTGTGCGGCAGCCCTGCCTTGTCAGGTGAAGGTTATCATTTTTAGGAATAGAGTGTCTTTGAATTAGGTTCGTACAGTCACACACTTAATAGACTACAGTGTAGTGTAAAAGTGACCTGTATAAGCCCCGGGAAACCTGAAATCTTGTGTGACCTGCTTTATTGCTACATTTGCTTTATTCTGGAACTGAACCCGCAATGTCTCTGAGGTATGCCTGTAATGATTTGAAATTTTACTTTTTTATTATAAAAATAAGGCAACACGTTGTAGAAAATTTGGAAGACGTAGGACAGCACGAAGATAGGCAGCTGGAGCCCTGCCCTCCGGGGCTCACCGCTGGTCTCTGTTCTTCCGAGTGTGTGTGATGTTCATTCTTGTCATGGCTCACCAAACCCTAACCTCTCCGTGCGTCTTGGGGTCCATGTCTCCACTAACCACGCCCCGTCGGGCCCCCAGAGCGAGCCCTGCTCCAGGCCAAGTTCGGCTCCATTTCCCGCCCGTAACGGGCGATGGCAGCTCCCACCCTGATGGGGGGCGTTGCGGGGCGGGGGGGTGGACGTCCTCCCCGACCTCCCTGGGGGCCGCGGCCTCCCAGCCCCTTTGTGGACACGTGGCTGGCTCCGGCGCAGTCCTTTCACTTTTGCGATGATAAGTAATACGGCTGGGCAGCAACATCGGAGACAAGTATTCCTCTGCAGGTGTGAGTGTTTTCGTTTAGATCCCAGGGAGGAAGCAGCAGGATCAGAGCATGGACGTGTCTCAAGGGTCATCCTGGGTACTTGCCTTCGGAGCGGGTCCCTAAACAGGAGGGTGGGCGAGGCTGGGAGCCCCCTGCCCCGGAGGGCTGGCCGCTCAGCACGTGCACACCCACTCCCGGGCACAGCCTTCTCACTCTGAACCATAACACGGAGTCTGTCCTTCCTTTCAGGACTGGAAGGACCACCAGCACATGTGTGGTCAGTCGGCAGCTGTCACCGTGCAGGGGGATGACGTCCATGTCGCTGAGGGTGTGATCGAGAAGGTCACCGTGTGAGGGCTCGCGGGGCCTCTGTGGCCAGGACGGAGCCCTGAGGACGGGGGCCACTGAGGACGAGGAGGAAGTTGCTGGCCAGGTTACGAGCGGACGTCGCATGACCGGCACCCGGGCAGCGCGCTCCTGCCGCCAGGCCCCGAAGCGGGCGGGCGGGCGGCCGGTGGACGCGGCCTGGGCCCTCAATGCCGCTCGCGGTGCTCTTTTTATCCCTTGGATGGTGAGCATCCGGTCTTCCCTACGGGTGTGTCGTGTTCCGTAACACGCGTGTACATACGTGTGTCTGTCAGTAAAGTTGGCGGCCCTGCCCCATGCGGACTGGTGACTCCAAGCTCCGACCTTCCCGAGGCCCCGGGGGCCCGATCGTGCAGTTCGGAAGCCGAGACCGTATGGGGCCCAGCCCGGCGGGACGGGAGGCTGGTACCTGCTGCCCAGGAGCTGGGGCCCCAGAGCTGCCAGCCGGGAAGGCCGAGCCGCCGTCCAGTCTCAGGGACGGCTCGGCGTCTGGACGTGCCACCTTCCCTTTGCACAGAGCGCGCCCGGGACCCCTGGGGACCTGCCCAGGGTGGCTCTTGCCTGCGCCCGGCTATCCTCGCCCAACTCTCGCGGGCTGCGGGCCTCGTCCCTGCCCTTCCCGGCGCCCTGCCCAGCCTGTCCCCAAGCCTGGGTTCCAGGAAAGCTTGCGGTGCCCCGTCTTCTGTGCACTGAGAGATGGACTTTGACCCCGACGCTCGCCTCACTGTTGCATCTCGTTCACACCTCCGGCCCCGCACCTCCCGGCTCCTGCTTCCAGAAGGTTCTTCATAGCACACAGAGACTTGCCTTTTGGGCCACGGGCTCCCCGGTGAGCCAAGGGGGTGGCACCCACGCCCATCCCCCCGCGCCCAGCCTGGCTCCAGGTGGGGAAGGACCTGCCCCCCCAGAAGCCCCTCTGCCTCCGTTCCATCGGCCTCTGCGGACTAAGCGGGTTTATTTGGGTTTTATTTGTTTTGTCGTCCCGCCTCTCCACCACCTTGGGAAGGCCAGGCCCGGCCCCTGGGGTTTGCACAGCATGAAGGTGGTGGGAAGTGAGGACGGGGGGTGGGCGCCACGTCGGCCTCAGCAGAAGGGGCTGCACCCCCAGAAGGAACCCCCCCAAACCTGAAAAGGCTAAAATGGCGACGTAGGTGGGCAGCGCCCCCAGGGAAAGGCTTCCAGGTCCTCCCTGGCGTCCAGCTCCAGGCGGCGGCCTCCCCGCGAGCGGGTTCGGAGGCCTTGGGACCAGGCCCTGCAGGGAAGCCGTCCCGGGCGAGGGTTTTCTGGGATCGGGGCGGCTTCTCCTCCCCTTCTCCTTAACGTAGAAGCCTGGGGACCGCACGTGTTCGGGGCAGTTTTCCAAGGTGTATCGTTTCTAAGCCTTTGAAGCTATCTCTGCGCAACCCCGGACATCAGGATCCTTCTGGAAATTGCCATCCAAGCGCCCAGGGTGTGTTGGCACCCTCAGTTCTGTGTCAGCACTTCTCATGGCCTCTGCCAGACGCAGCCGCGGGGGCCAGGCCAAGGCTTCTGACAGTGTGCGGTGCGGCAGCCGTCCGGGTGCTGCAGGTCCTCTGAGCTGAGGCTGCCGTGACGCTTGGCATCAGTGGGCCTGGGACCCTCGAGGCACCTGCTGAGCCCCCGGGTCAGCCAGGCTCTGTATATCTGCACCTGTTCCCCCAGTGCCCACCTTGTCACTCCCTAGTGTCCACCTGTCCCCCTTGTGCCCGCCTTGTCCCCCTCTTGGGGGACACAGGAGTCTGCCCACAGGGCCAGTGGGGACAGCGCCGGACACCAGCAGATCCCAGCCCATCTGCAGCCCCACCTCCGAAAGAGATGCACTTACTGGCCTGGCCTGTCGGGGGCACGGTCACCCCCTCCCTAGTATAGATGAGAAGGGTACATGGAGGGGGACGTGGCCTTGCTCCACACAGATCCCTGGGCTGGTGGGCATGGCAGCTGGTGCCCACGGCTGGCGGGCAGGGGTGCTGCTGCTTGAGACCCTCTTGGCGGTGGCAGACACCAGCTCTGACCACCTGGAGTGACCACAGAAGGCCCAGCAGGCGCATGTCGGGACACATCAGAGATGGGTGGCAGGGCACGGGCGTGGGGTGTGGACCTGAGGGACGAGCCAGGTGGCAGGGCCAGTGGCCGCAGTCAGGGGCCCTTTGCTCCGACCCTGACCCTGACCCTGCCGTCAGCCTGATGGTCCCTTCAAGTCTGAGGTTCCCAGGAGGGACCACCAGCCCAGCTCTGAAGCAAGTGTCTTGCCCGGGTGAGGCTGTACCATCTGGGGCTCCTCCCGGGAGGGGCCCCGGGGTATCCGCTGCAGCCATCCTCATGCTTCACAGGCAAGAAGGTGCTGGAAGCTGAAGCAGCCAACAGACCCGGGGGCCGGCCCTGGGCCCCCTCCCCCACTCCCATTTTGTGTTGGTTCCCATGTGGTGCAGGGACACAGCACCCCATACTGGCCCCCAGTCCATCAATACTCGGTTCCTCGAGGGCCAGTCTCTCCCAGGATGATAGGGGCAGGCTGGTCCTGGGGGGTGGTCAGCTGGGGCTTCTCAGGGGAGGCAGCAGCTGAGTCTGAGCAGGAAACGGTGCTCACCCAGAGAGGGGAACAGGGTGGCCCCCTCTCCACGGAATATTTTAGCAGGCTGAGGGTGGGCCTGATGCCGTGGCCCTCACAGCCCATAGTTTCTCATGTTCAGAGGAGAACTTGACACCCGGCAGTGGCCGGCTTGGTCACAGTTCCTGACAGGAGCGCTGAGCCACAGTACTGGGCACAGCGGGTGCCCACGGCGGGGGACTTGGGAGGGTCCAGGTGAAGTCCAAGTGGGGCTGTCTCGGGTTGAGGGGCGGGCCGCGCTGTGGGCGGGAGAGGGGCAGCCACTCCCTGCTCTGCCCACTTGCTCCCAGCCAAGTGGGCAGAGGATGGCTGAGTGCCTTGTGGGCCTGCGCTGGCCTTCCCTGGAGGGAGGCTGTCCCCGTGAGCCCACCCAGCACCCAGGCCCCCTGTTCCTCCAGGCTTTGGGCATCTATGGGCAAGTCAGGAGCTGGCAGGGAGCTGTGCTCCGACCTTGAGGCAGCTGCCGAAGCAGTGGCAGGGGCAGGTCAGCTGCATTTTGCAGGGACAGTGGATGGGGCCACCAGGACGAGGGGAGGAGGCTGCTGGCCTGGGAACAGCTGTCGGGTCGGGGTGGGTTGCAGCTGGCCGGGTGTGTTGGGGAGGGAACGTGTTCGGGGAGGGTGTGAGTCGGGGCAGTCTTCCCAGGCAAGGGCTGGCCCTCTTCCCAAGGCTTCCGGGGCGGGGCAGACCTGGCTGGGTAGGGTCTCTTCTCTGGGCTTCCTCCGGAGGAAGGAAGGGGTTAACTGGCCGGATGAGGGTTAGTGGAGGCCTGGGCTCCTCCTCCTTGCCCCCTCCCCCGCCTCCAAGAGCCTTCCCAGCAGGTGTTGGGGATCTGTTTAATAACTCCTACAAACCCCCAGGCGAGGCGGGGTGCTGAAGAGGGGCTGCGGTGCCAGCGGTCTGCTCAGTAGCAGAGGCGCAGAGCCTTGCGGAAGACGGTCCGGAACTCGGCGTTGAAGACGGTGTAGATGACGGGGTTGAGGGCGCTGTTGACGTAGCCCAGCCAGGTGACCGCGCTCACCAGCCGCGGGGGCACGGCGCACGTGGGACACAGCGCCCGGGAGATGTGCACGACAAAGAAGGGCGTCCAGCACAGCAGAAAGGCCCCTGGGGGCGGGGTTGGGGCTGCCGTGAGCGGCTCCCTGCCACGCCCCCCGCCCCGGGCACCGCTTCACACCCCGGGCGCTGCAGTTTTCCCCTCTCTGCCCACGTCCCCTGGCCGGTACCCACCGACCACCACAGGCAGGACTCTCATAGCTTTGCGCTCCCGGCCCGAGATCTTGGCGCGTCTCCTCCTGCGGGCCCGCAGCGGGGGTTCGGCCGGCATGGCGTCCGAGGGCAAGACGGCATCCGAGGCTGGGGTGGCGTCGGGGGGCGGGGTTGCATCGGGGCCCGGGATGGCGTCGGGGGGCGGGGTTGCGTCGGGGCCCGGGATGGCGTCGGGGGGCGGGATGCAGTCTGGGGCCGGGATGGCATCCGGGGGCACGGCGACATCGGGGGCTGGGATGCCGTCGGGGGGCGGCGGGCCGGGGCCGCTGGGGCGGCGGGGCGCACGGCCGTGCAACTTGGCGCGGCGGGCTGCCTCCCAGCGCCGAAGGCCCCGGAACGTGGCCCAGTAGAGCAGCAGCATGAGCGGGCAGGGCAGGAAGAAGGAGCACACGGACGAGTAGACCACGTAGTCGCGGTCCTCCAGGCGGCACACGGAGGGATCGCGGCTGCGCGCGTCGTTGAGGCCGCACAACACGGGTGCCGCCACCGCTGCCGACAGCAGCCACGTGGCGCCGATGAGCAGCAGCTGCCGGCCACCGCGGCTCTGGCGGTTGTAGTGCAGCGGCACGGCCACCGCCACGAACCTGCGGGGAGCGTGGTGAGGGCGGCGGGGCCGGGGCGGCCCTACAGGGGACGGGGCGGTGGGGGCGGCCTACCTGTCCACGCTGATGGCGCACAAATTGAAGATGGAGGCCGTGCACAGCATGACGTCCATGGCCATGAGCGCGTCGCAGAGGCCAGGGCTCAGCAGCCACACGCCGCCCTGGACCTGGGCGCAGGGAGGGGCCCCGTAGCAACAACAGACACAGGACGCTACCCTCCCCCAGCCGCCTGCCCAAGCTGTCCTTCTGACCCCCAGTGGTCCGGGAGCAGAAGGGGCTGAATATCAGAGGGGAGGGGAGAGGAGGGGAGGGGAGTGAGCCGGAGACAGCTGGGCAGTCCTGCCCGCCCCTCAAGCTGGGCGCCAAGAGACGACCCCCTTCCTTTCTCTTAGAACTGAGAAAGGCCTTGGGGGGGGATCCTGGGGGCATAGTCACCTGAGGACTGCGATCTCTGATGCTGTGGGGCTCAGGGTACCGTGGGGCCCCTCCCTGCGCAGGTGGGGACCCTGCAGCCCAAGAGTGTGAGCCCAGCACCCCTATACCACCCCCCAGCCCCTGCAGACAGCTAAGAGTCAGTGTCTGGGAAACTCGCTCTCTGGGCCTCTGGACGTGTCATTTCACTCCTGTCCCCTCACCCGCAAGAGAGGGCGAGGATGGTACCCACAGCATTGTTACAAAGTCAAGTCCCCGGCGCCGTGCCCGGCGGTCCCACCAAGGGCAAAGGAGCAGACAGCCACCCCCCTCTAAATCCCCTCCTGCTGATTTGGGGCGATTAGGAGCTTAAGAGCCGTCATTGTGACGTCTGTCTGCAGCTCGGGGTGGGGGGGAGCGGCAGGTCACGTCTGTCCTTGTCCTGCTGGCCTCTGCCCCAGCCCTGCCCAGACTCACTGTGTCCACTGCCTGCCCTCCCCCATCGCCCAGGACGCTGTGTCCCCAGCTCAGCCCTAAGCAGCTTTTCTCTGCCCAAACTGCACAGTGGACATGGCTGGCACCAAGGGGGACCGACCCAAGGGCCAGACCTGCTCTGGGGACGGAGGCTCCTGGGCCCAGGTTCTGGCGGGGGCCCCGGACCCCACACCTGCGCCTTCCCTTGGTTCCACTGTCAGGCCCGGGTGTCCCCTGGCTCCAGCTGTGCTCACTGCCCTGCAGCTCCTGGCAGCTGAGCGTCCCTCCTGCTGGGAGCCCAGTCGGTGCGTGAGTGAGGGTCTCCTGCCCTGAAGTGTGCTGGTGTGTGCCCGCCTGTGGTCCTGCCTGGCTGTGGTGTGGCCTCGTGCAGTGACGTGTGTCTCTGTGCCCCAGGGGGAGCCGGCATGGGGGTAAGCCTGAATCTGCCTGTCTGTCCAGGATCGGCGGCGCCAGCTCCATGCCCACCCTTCCACCCTCTACACCTGGCTCCCCTGGGGGAGTGGAACCCGGCTGAGGGGGCTGAGTGGGGGGCTGAACTGCCAAAGTCGCCTGTTTCTGGGTTCTCTGCTTGAAGGACAGAGGCATCTCTTGGGTAACAGACACCAAGACAGAAAGGGAGAAGAGGAGAGAGGGGCAGAAGAGGGAGGGCGGACAGACAGCAAAGCGGGCAGATGGACAGCGAGATGGGGGAGGGGAGTGAGGCTCGGAGGTGCTGGAGGCTCCGGTCGTCCTGGGACCAGGCGCGGCCCCCAACTCGAGGCTCCTGAGAGGCCAGGCGGCAGGGTCACGCTGGGTCCTCGGTGTGGCTCGGCACAGGGAACAAGGAGCAGGTGAGGGTGCGCGTGCGGTCGCGACGCGGGCTCACCTCGGAGTAGACGAAGAGAGGCAGCACGAGCAGGGCGAGCAGGAGGTCGGCGGCCGCCAGGCTCAAGATGAAGTAGTTGGTGGGCGTCTGCAGGGCGCGCTCGGCCGCCACGCTCACGCACACGAGCGAGTTCCCTGCGAGCACCGCGCCGATGAGCAGCACGCCCCCCGCCAGCGCCGCCGCCGCCCCGGGGCCCCCCGCGCCGCCGCCCGTGCCGGGCCCGCGCCCAGCCAGCAGCCCGTCCGCGTCCGCGGCGCTGCGGTTCCCCATGGCGCACGGCCCGCGCGCCCCAGCGGGCGCTCAGCACCGCGGACAGTGCCCAGGTCGGGAGCCGGAGCCCCGCCCCTCCGGCCCGCCCAGCCTGGTCTTAGTCCCGCCCTGTCCGCCCGGCTCGAAGGACCCCGGGGCGCTCTAAGTTGCATCCAGTCTTTGCCCATCTTGGACTTCTGCGCTCCGAGAGACCGGCAGGTGGACAAATGCAACGGCCCAAAGCGACCCGAATGAAGTGATATGATTGGCACGGGCGGGCCCAGCATCGCTCTGCGCCTGGAAGGGTTGGGGGGCGACGCGCTGGTCTGAGCCCCGAGAAACCGACGGGGATGGAAGGTCGGCCCGACCATCCCACGAGACTCGCGGGCGCCCATGCCAGCGCCATCCCGCCCGGCCCCAGAGAGCCCCGGCGTCCCTACAGGGACCCAAGCTGGGCGTCACTCCCCGGGGACCCCGCTGGAGGCCCTCGAGGCAGAGGTGGAGCCACTTCTCACTCCGTCCGGTTCAAGTATCTGCGGAGGACCAGCCTTTTCAGGCTACCACCCCAGCCTCCCCCCGGGGCCCCCTGATGCTCGGCGGCGCCAGCTCCATGCTCACCCTTCCACCCTCTACACCCCAGCCTCTTGGGCCCCTTTGCGTCCCCCCGCAATGATTGCAGACCCCAACCAGGGGCCCTGCACTCCCCCCACCCAAAGCAGCGTCTCCATCAGTCTGGGCCACACTCAGTCCCTCTCCACCCACACCCACTGCCTGACCCTTCATCTTCCCCCAGACGCTGAGTGGTCAGCCTCAATTCCGGCTCCATCGCCTCCGAGCCTGTGACCCTGAGCGAGCTGTGCACCCCTCTGAGCCTGGAAAATGAGCTCACCCCACAGAGCCTGAAAGGCCGCAACAGGAGGAAAGGCCGTGATAAGCCCACAGGGGGCTTAGCAGTCTCCAGAGTTCTGCGTGCTCTTCAGACATGTTTTACCTGAGTCACTTCCTTCTTCACAGAGAAAAGCCCCAAATGAGAACCCGCTCAACCTGCACCCTCCACTCCCACAAACTCACTAGACCCCGGGCCTCCCTGGAGCACTGGAGGTGGTTCTCCCTCCCTCCCTCCCAAGGATGAGCCTGGGGCCCCATGTGCCCATCACCCTCCACCTGCCAACATAAGACTGTAGGAGCTTGAGGGGCTCTGGGTACAGGGTCCCAGACCCATGCAGGTAAGACTGTGTTGTATCCATGGGGCACAGAGTTCATGGCAGAGATGGCTGTGCATGACAGAGAGGTCAGTCCAGACCGTCTGTCTCAGATTATAAAAGTGAACAGAGGGGCTTCCCTGGTGGCGCAGTGGTTGGGAGTCCGCCTGCCGAAGCAGGGGACACGGATTCGTGCCCCAGTCCGGGAGGATCCCACATGCCGCGGAGCGGCTGGGCCCGGGAGCCATGGCCGCTGAGCCTGCGCATCTGGAGCCTGTGCTCCGCAACGGGAGAGGCCACAACAGGGAGAGGCCCGCATAACGCAAAAAAAAAAAGAGAGAAAAAAAAAAGTGAACAGAAAGAACATGCAAGGAAAATGTGCAGTGAGAATTTTTATTATGGACTTCCTGTGACGCGCAGCCTGGTCACTAACGGAGCCAAGAAGTGGGCTATGCAGCTGCATCACTTGGTGGGACCATCTAAGGCACATCCTGGCCCCTCGTTTGCATCTGTGACTCCCTCCGCCCTGGGAGGGCCAGAAAACTCAGGATGGACCCGAAGCGCAGAGGTGCTGCCAGGAATCAAGGATCCTGATTTCAAAGACATCAGGAGACACAGGGGCCAGCTTGAGGGACTGGTAGTGTGTGTATTAAAGAGAAAACAAGGACTCTGAAGAGACAGATGTCATGATATACTCATAAGGGGCAAAATCACTTGAGGTCTGGTAAAGGAAAGGTATGCAGGACGCGGTGTAGATGGGCATCCGGGTCTGAGTTGCATTCAACATCTCCACCCCTTTCATGTGGATCAGTAAAGGGACAGGCAGGCTTCCTCCCCTTCTGAAGCTTTGAGCAAGAGAACTCACAATACTAGTGACTAGGGCAGGAAGTTTCTTTTCTCACAAGACAAAAATCCAAGGCAGGGTTGGTTCTGTGATCTTGGGTTGGGTGCCAAGTGGTGAGTCCAGCCTAGCCTCCTATCTGCTTTGGGTCTCTCTCCTGGTCCTCAGACATCTGCCACCATTAAGAGTGAAAAGGTAGTCCAGATTGGGAAAGGATATAATATAGTTGCAATGTAGATCTCTGATAAAGGATGCAGATCCAGAATATATAAAGGGCTCTGACAAATCAAGAAAAGAAAGACAATCCCATATTAACAAATGTAAAAGTCTTGTACCCACATTACAAAAGAGGGTATCCCCGGGCTTCCCTGGTGGCGCAGTAGTTGAGAGTCCGCCTGCCGATGTAGGGGACGCGGGTTCGTGCCCCGGTCCGGGAAGATCCCACATGCCGCGGAGCGGCTGAGCCTGTGAGCCATGGCCGCTGAGCCTGCGCGTCCGGAGCCTGTGCTCCGCAACGGGAGAGGCCACAACAGTGAGAGGTCCGCGTACCGCAAAAAAAAAAAAAAAAGAGGGTATCCTAATGGTCAATAAGCAAATAAGCACATGAGAAAGTGCTTAACATCCTTAGCCATTGGGGACATGACAGTAAAAATCACAACGAGGGGACTTCCCTGGTGGCGCAGTGGTTGAGAATATGCCTGCCAGTGCAGCGGACATGGGTTCAAGCCCTGGTCTGGGAAGATCCCACATGCCATGGAGCAACTGGGCCCGTGAGCCATAACTACTGAGCCTGCGCGTCTGGAGCCTGTGCTCCGCAATAAGAGAGGCCGCGATAGTGAAAGGCCTGCGCACCACGATGAAGAGTGGCCCCTGCTCGCCGCAACTAGAGAAAGCCCTCGCACAGAAACGGAGACCCAACACAGCCAAAAATACATAAATAAAAATAAATAAATTAAAAAAAAATTATCTCCATAGTCAAAATAATTCTTTAAAAAAAAAAAATCACAACGAGGGAGTTCCCTGGTGGTCCAGTGGGTGAGACCCCACGTTTCCACTGCAGGCGGCAAGGGTTTGATCTATGGTCAGGGAACTAAGATCCCACATGCCGTGCGGCACAGCCCCGCCCCCCCCCCAAAAAAATCACAAAGACTTGTCATTGCACACTAAAATGGGGGGGAAAATGTCAGATATGTAATTTGAAAATATTTCCTCCCAGACTGTAGCTTGTCTCTTCATTCTCCTAACAGTGTATTTGGTTCAGTTTTTTTATGTGTAAGGAATGAGCCTGATACCTTACACACATGATACCTTATGTGTAAGGTGTGAGCTGAGGTGATTGGTTGATTTTTCTTGCCTATGGATGTCCAGGTATCCCAGCACCACTTGTTGAAAATATTGTTTTCTCTCCATAGAACTGCCTCTGAACTTTTGTCCAAAAGCACTTGATCATATTTGTGTGGGGCTATTTCTTGACTTCTATTCAGTTCCATTATCCAAGCGTCTTTCCTTTCAACAATAGTACAGTCTTGATTATTGTGGCTTTATAGTAAGTCATGATATCAGGTAGCGTGGGTCCTCTAAAGTTGTTCTTTCACAAAACTGTTTTGACTACTCGAGTTCCCTTGTATGTATGAATTTTAGAATCAGCTTGTCTATATCTACAAGAAAGTCCTGCTGGGAATTTGACTGGGGGAAATTGACATCTTAACAATATTGAGTCTTCCAATTCATGAATATAGTATATCTCTCCATTTATTTAGATATTCCTTGATTTCTTTCATCAGTATTTTGTACTTTTCAGCATACAGATCCTGCACATATTTTGTAAGATTTGTACCTAAGTATTTCATGTTTTCTGGTACGATTGTAAATGGTAGTTAAAAAATTTTTGGTTTCCAGTTGTTCATTGCCAATGAGCAGAAACAGTTTTGTATATGGACCTTGTATCTTTTTTTTTTTTTTTTTTTGCGGTACGCGGGCCTCTCACTGTTGCGGCCTCTCCCGTTGCAGAGCACAGTCTCCGGATGCGCAGGCCCAGCGGCCACGGCTCACGGGCCCAGCCGCTCCGCGGCATGTGGGATCTTCCCGGACCGGGGCACGAACCCGCGTCCCCTGCATCGGCAGGTGGACTCTCAGGCACTGCGCCACCAGGGAAGCCCGAACTTGTATCTTTTGATGTTGTTAAACTCACTATTAGTTCAAGGATTTTTTTTTTCCTTTGGTTTTCTTCAGGATTTCTACATAGATAATGATCTTGTTCATGAATAGAGACAATTTTATTTCTTCTTTTCTTATCTGGATGACTTTTCTGTCTTTCTTTTTCTTTCTTTCTTTCTTTCTTCCACTGTAGTTGATTTACAATACTGTGTTATTTTCAGGTTTACAGCAAAGTGATATATCTATATAATCATAGACTTAAATGTAAAACCTAAAACCATAAAAAATTTGGAAGAAAAGATGGGAGAAAATCTTTGTGACAAGGGGTTAGGCAAAGAGTTTTAGACATGACACCAAAAGCATGGATTTACAAATGAAAAACATAGATAAACTGGACTTCACTAAAATTAAAAACTTTCAGTCATAGGATGGAAGAAAATATCACCAAATTGCATTTCTAGCAAATGACTTGTGTGCAAAATACATAAAGAACTCTCAAAGCTCAACAGTAATGATACTACAGGAAAGAAAACTGCAGATGAGTATCCCTTATAAATATACATATAAAACTCTTTCACAAAATATGATCAAGCCAAATCCAGCAGCACTTTTTAAAGGATTATACACTATGACCAAATGGGGATTTATCCCAGGAATGCAAGGGTGATTCAACAGACAAAACTCAATCAATGTAATACATCACATTAATAGAACGGAGGAATAAATTTAATCATCTCAGTTGATGCAGAAAAGTGCATTTGATGAAATCCAACACACTTTCATGATAAAAAGACTCAATAAACTAGGAATAGAAAGAAATTTCCTCAACACGATCAAGACCATATATGAAAAACACAAAACATCATACTCAGTGATGAGACTGAAACCTTTCCCTTGAGATCAGGAAAAAGACAAGGATACCCAACTTCGTTGCTTCTATACAACATGTCCTGGAAGTTCTAGCCAGAGCAACTGGGCAAGAAAAAGAAATAAAAGTCACCCAAAATTGGAGAGAAAAAAGTAAAACTATTTCTATTTGCAGATAGCATGATCTTATGTATAGAAAATACATAAGGAAGGAAAAAAAAGGAAAGGAAAAAAAAAAACCTGTTAGAGCTAACAAACAAATTCAACAAAGTTTCAGGATATAAGATTGACATATAAGAATCAGTTATATTTCTATACATTAGCAATGAACAATCCAAAAATGAAATTAAGAAAGTAATTCATTTGAAAAAGCATCAAAAAGAATAAAATACTTAGTAAAAAATTTAACCAAGAAGGTGAAAGACTTGTACACTGAAAACCAGAAAACATTGCTGGAAGAGATTAAAGAAGGCATAAATAAGTCAATCTAATGTTCATGGACTGGAAGATTTAATATTGTTAAGATGCCTTTTCTCACCAAATGATCCCCAGATTCAATACACTCCCAGGTGAAACTCCAGTGACTTTTTTTTAAGAAATCCAAAACTAAAATTCATATGGAATTGCAAAGAAATCCAAATAACCAAAGCATTCTTGAAAAGGAAAAAACAAAGTTGGCACAGTTGCTGATTCCAAAAATTGCTACAAAACTACAGGAATCAAAACAATATGATACTGGTGATAAGGACAGACATAAACATCAATGGAATAGAATCGAGGGTTCAGAAATAAACCCATACATCTGTGATCAATTGATTTTCTTTTTAAAAAATATTTATTTATTTATTTTTGGCTGCATCAGGTCTTAGTTGCAGCACACAGGAGCTTTTGTTGTGGCGCACAGGCTCCTCTCTAGTTGTGGCGTGTTGGTGTGATCAATTGACTTTTTTTTTTTTTTTTTTTTTTTGCGGTACGCGGGCCTCTCACTGTTGTGGCCTCTCCCGTTGCGGAGCACAGGCTCCGGACGCGCAGGCTCAGCGGCCATGGCTCACGGGCCCAGCCACTCCGCGGCACGTGGGATCTTCCCAGACCGGGGCACGAACCCGCGTCCCCTGCATCGGCAGGCGGACTCTCAACCACTGCGCCACCAGGGAATCCCTCAATTGACTTTTAACAGGGGTGTCAAGACTATTTAATAGGGAAAGAAGAGTTTCTTCAATACATGGCATTGGAACAACTGGACATCCACATGCAAAACAATGAAGTTCAATCCTTACCTCACACCACATACAAAACTTAACTCAAAATGAATCAAAGTCTAAAATATTTGATCTAAAACTATAC